TGTAATCATCGTTTTTGTTAAAGACCGGAAAATGTAGTGAAATCGTCAAGTCGGCAAAAAGCAGGGTTACAGAAATTTTCAATCTCGGCACGCCACGTCTATCTGTTAGAAATATTACAGGACTTTGACTGGATAAAATCGCTTCGGCTGATGTAGTACAGAAATTTCCGAAGAAGAAATTGTTAACAAAACAGATGTCTTCCTTTGTCTTGCATTTGAAAGTGAAGAAATTTGGGGCAGAACTAATAAATGTATTAAAAGAGTCCCGAAAAGAGGCTTTCCTGAAGTTCGAATATTTTCCATGTCAAACACAGAAAGTTCCTTATAACAACCAAAGTTTGATTAATATTCTTCATGGGTCATCTCCGAATGTATTTATCATTTGATACGTACTTGCCGATTCAATTAAATAGGAAAGATGACTTCTGCAGTTCTCAAGGTTCCATCTCCACGCAATAGAACTGTCTTGATGTTCGCATTAAAAATTCGGACTTTCATGTTGGTTGATAGTTATTATGAGTTCCAGATGTTTCTCGATTTTAGAAATGCTAGCCTTGCTTTGCCGAACCGCACCTTCATATCTGCATCAGATTAACCTGTTTTATCAGTAATGCTGTCCAGATATGTAAGAGTTTCGACATCTTCCAAAGCTTTTCCATCAAGTTTTGTTTCGTTGGTGCATGATGTGTTGTATCGGAGAATCTTGCTTTTCCCTATGTGTATATTGCGGCTTACTGCCACAGAGGCTGGTGTTATTCTGGCCGTCTTCATCTCCATCAGTTGTTGTGTGAGAGATACAGGAGCTAGATAATCTGCGAAATCCAAGTCGTCTGGCTGCATCCGAGCTGTTCACTGTATTCCACTGAGATGTTTACGTCTCCATAATCTAGTCAGTTAGAAGGGGAAAGTGAAAGTGTGTGAGTAAACAACCTTGTCTGACTTCAGCCTTTACTTGGAATGAATGTGTGAGCTTCCCTCCAAGCACTATTCTTCCTATTCAAAGAACTCCGTATGACTCTGACTAGTTTCCCAGGTGCTCCCTGTCATTTTGACGACAATAGTTGATGTAGTTGTGAATTTCATCCAGTTGATTGTTCCACAATAATCCGTGGTATCGCGACTTGACATGATCAATGTTTACGGAATGCAGCCATCAGATCTCATGTTTGGGTGCCTACTAAATCTTTCATGTGATTAAACAACCCTGTTGAAGACTTTCGCTGGTATTAAGAGAAGACTGATGCCTCTATAGATCTCGCACTCGTAGGGATCGCATTCCTATGGTATCTTGATGAAGTGTCCTTCTTTCCAGTCTGTTCGTACTTCTTCTTCCCACCGAATCTTGCTGAAGACAGTGGAGTATATTCGTGGTCACTGCTACGTCTGCTTTCAATGCCTCATTTGGGATATCTTCTGGTTGTGCTACTTTGCCGCTCTTGATTTGTCAGATGACCATGTTGATTTCCTCGATTATCGGTGGATCAACATCAATTGGGAGGTCTGTAGGTGCAGCCTCGGTATTGGGCGGGTTCAGTGGGGTTGATCGATTAAGGAGTTCTTCAAAGTGCTCTACCCACCAGTTTCGCTGTTCTTCAGTGTCAGTCATTACTTTGTTTCCTTTCCTTTTCACTGGTCATTCTGGTTTACGATACTCCCCAGCAAGCTTATTCGTTGTACCATACAGCTTTTTCACTTTTCCTTCTGTTTCACCTTTCTCTGCTATCATAACTAGACCTTCCATATATTTTTCGGCTCTTATATTCCTCTTCACTTGCTTGTGCCTTGACATTCTCTTCTCCTGTTCGCTTGATTTTGTATAGTGGCTTGATTGAATGCAGCCTATGTAGATCGACTACCAATTCATAGTGCTGTAGGGAGTCGATGCGGAGTATGGCTGCAGGAACATCGACAATGATAAATGCCCACAGATATTGTGGCATTGTAGCTTCAGACTTGCTGTTAACAGTCGGTACGACAGAAACTTGGACACCTGTATCCTCTAGGTACCTAGTGTTATTGCGATAAATGTGCACGTAAAATAAGTTGCCAACCTGAGGTAGGGGGCCGGCGATTACGGCCGCGTTTACTCGCGGCATGGGTGTTTCCTGATTGCGTGAGCAAGGGGCTCAACATGGCCAGGCAGCGGGCCCGAAGGCACGGTGAAACCGGCGAGGACCAGTGCTCACTTGGAGCGAGAAGCTACAGCCCTAAGTGATTGTGAACTAACTCGGCGGATGTGGGGTTCTGGAATGATGTAGCGGTCTCACTACTTGAGACGACTATGAATAATGTGACCTCGATCACTTGAGTTGGAGGGTGACTAAAGTCGAGGTTCATTTTCGGATGTGACGTGGAGGCAACTATGAAGTGGTCCTCAGAGCTAGTGCTCGCAATTACTTTAATCTGCTATGAGGCAAACCCTGGAAAGTGGCCTGTCCTCGAGTAGAGCTGTGATGCATTGAGCCCCGATTCCCTTGCCATGTCAGAGTCAGATGTCGAAGGTCCTGCCAAAAGTTGCGGGTACGTGGGGTGGTGACTAGAGAGCAACGTGATAATAAGGTCCTAAGCCCTTCCTACGTCGATGAGGGCAAGTGACTGAGAATTGCCTCCCTGAGACGATCATAGACACTGGGTGAATCAGGGTTCAGAACGACCTAATCAACAGCCGCTATATGATCCCCAGGTAAAATCTCCCGAGTGTAGGAGTATTTCTACCGCTGTCTCGTGGATCCTAAGTCGGGTATCGGGTACCTCAAACGAGAATTCTGGATAATGGAGGATAAAAGATCAGGTAGGAAATTGCAAACCTGTTCTTCGGAGTCTATTATATAATCAGTATTCTTATGGATTTCCAGCATTTCGAAACGTTGTCGATTGCATGATGTATATTAAGGGATATTAATAATGTTATTGCAACAAAACAAAAATGGGGATAGAAGAATAATAGACTCACTGTAATTGGCTTTCTATTTGAAGAAAGTGACAGCTCACCAGGTGTAGTGAGTGTTTTTATCGGGATTACCAAATGCAGTGGCTCGAGTCCAGGTTGACAATGGATATTACTACAGACCGATTACATTCCGGCTACTAATCGTTATCCTATCATGAATCATAGACGAGGAAAAAGATATAATCTAGATGAGGACGTGTATTTGTTGGCAATCTCGTGGTACCAAGATAACACCGAGATCGTGACGGAGAATATGGGTGACGATACAAGGAGCAGTATAATCAAGATGGTGACGTAACAGAAGGATCGTGTGTGTACAGAGTACAGATAAAAAGGAAGTTCAGCACAACAATCACAGGTACAATTGGTTGTAGTAATGAATGTTTCTATTCAACCTTTTTCTTCGTACAAGTGGAGTCACTGCAGTTGGTTGCTGCTTTCTTGTTCCTCCTTTCTTGAAAGTTATCCAATGTATCAACAGTGATCCACTCCTTAAGTCGCAGAAACTCATAACATGTTGAGATGGTTGCTTTCTTGATCCATTTCCAGTTGTTTTCTACAGTAGCTTCTACTCAACTGAGTAGATCCTGAAAGGCTTGACACTTATTGCAAGGAGCTATCTTGAATTCGTTGAGTTTGCCGATATCTCGAAGAAAGGCTGTGTCAAACTCTTGTGATGTTGTTCGCCCCGTTGTCCGATGCTTCTTGAGTTTCAGTTTCATCTTGGAAACCAGCAAGTGATGATCTGAGGTTACAAAAGCCCCGTTCTTGGATCTCGCATCCTCCATCGACCATTTGAACTTGTTATCGATGCAGATATGGTCGATTCGTTTCTGTGTGCTCCGGTGAAATTCATGTGGTTTCGTGTACCCATTTATGTGGAAATGTAGTACCAACTATAACAAGTTTGTCTAGGTCACAAAACATCTGCTGACCTCTCATCACTTTCGTTGCTTTCTCTCAGTCCATTTCGTCCACTATGATGTCTTCACATCCGGTATTGTCCATTACAACTTTGGCATTTAGGTCTCTCATCAGAGTGGTCAGGTCCTTTATTGGGCATTTCTCGACTACTGACTACGACCTCTCATAGAATTGATCTTCAGCATCTTCATTGAGATCGTCGTCAGGCGCACAACACTGAATGAATTTCACTGTAATCCCCTACCTTTGTTTTGAAGGGGGTTTTGATGATCATGGGTCCACTAGATTTCCATCCTATCAGTGCTTTTCGTGCTTGTTTGGACAACACCATTGTGACTCCTTGTGTGTGAGAGGCATTTTCTTCTTCATGGCCGGAGTAAAACAGCAGCTCTCCTGAAGCAAGTCTTCGTTGATCGACCTGCGTCCAATTGGTTTCTCGAATTCCAAGTACTACTAGGTTGCATCTTTACCTTTCTGCAGTAACTTGAATGACTCACTCAGTCTCTCACAGGCTAAAAACACTCGATGTATCTAAATGAATGGTTGTTCTGGTAGTTAGAATTTGAATCATCCTCATGGCTTCCGAATGAGCTCGGCTTTCATCATGAGACTTCACAAAGCTTCTAGTGAAGTCCTTCTAACTCCCAAGTCAGAGTTTAAATGGTTTTAATTGATTTTATGATTAGCGTTTTTTAACGGGTTAGTTTTACCTGGGCTTGGGTCGTGAAACTTTAGGAAGGACACTCCTCCCTAATCCGGGCCTAGGACCGGCAGTAACTCCCGACGGAGTTTGTTGGAAATTCTAAAGCGAATATCTTATCAAAACCTAACTGACGTCAGGGATACATACAAGCTTATGTGAGAGACCTTTTTGAATCTTAGTTCTTTTCAAAAGAACAAGTAATGCACTAATCCGTTTAATTTATAGTTAAATTTCTTTCTCATACCCTGGAAATGTCCATCGTACGCGAAATAGCTTTTACTCTTCAATGTGATTATTGAGAATAAGTATACAATGATTAAATCAACACAAAGCAAATCTTGTCCTCGCCTAGAAAAAACAACTAATTCTGAGGGCTCAGCTTTATCATCTATGATATTTCTAACATTCTAGTGAACATTGATATTTGTTCATTTGCTAAGCTGTTGAAACATTCTACATCCGAACCGCCACTTTGTTTCCACGCATTGTTGCAGCAAGTTTATTGAAGCGAGATGGGTGTAAGTTTTTTCCCCGTTGTTCTTTGCTTATAACAATGTTCATAGGTTCGAGGCAACAAAAAACATTTGAAGAGGTTAAATGCTCCGAAGCATTGGATGTTGGATAAGCTGGGGGGCAATTTCGCTCCTAGACCCAGCACAGGTCCACACAAATTGAGAGAATGTTTGCCACTCAGCATATTCTTGCGAAACCGTCTCAAATATGCACTAACTTACACAGAATGTACAAAGATACTGGCCCAGCGTCTGGTTAAAGTTGATGGCAGAGTGCGCACTGATAAAAAGTACCCCGCTGGATTCATGGATGTAATCACCATTGAAAAAACGAACGAGCATTTTCGACTTATTTACGACACGAAAGGCAGGTTCGCCATTCAGCGTATACATCCTGACGAGGCCAAATACAAGCTTTGCAAGGTAAGAAAAGTTCTTGTTGGTCATGGAGGAGTACCTTACATCGTAACTCATGATGCGAGAACCATTCGGTATCCAGACCCTAATATCAAGCCTAATGATACAATTCAAGTTGACATCGCCACTGGAAAGGTTCTAAACCACATCAAATTCGAACCAGGTAATGATGTTCTTACCTCAATGATTCTGTAGGTAATATGTGTATGGTAACCGGTGGACGCAATTTGGGACGAGTTGGAACTATTACTCAGTGGGAGCGCCATCCTGGTTCAGTCGAAATGGTCCATGTACGTGACAGCACAGGACATCAGTTTGTCACCCGTCTTAACAATATTTTCATCATCGGAAAGTCCAACAAACCGTGGATTTCTCTGCCAAAGAGTCGAGGTATCAGATTGTCCATTATTGAAGAGCGAGATAAGCGAATTCGAGCACGACGTCTTGCACACTAATTTTTGAATACATTTAGTACGGAATTCGGACTTGATTTATAATTCAGTTACACGGAATTGTTAGTCTACGACTTATCTATTTTCAACGTAGCTGTATTAACGGGATAAGGATTCGTAAGAGTACTTTCTTTGCTCAACATCGATATTCGTCAATATGACAGGAAAGTGCAGTGGACCATGATGAAATATGAATTGAGGTAGTTGAACTAGTTTTCTCTCCTTTTATGGTGATCTTGGCGCTATGTAGGGTGGTTTGACTTGACCGCTTATATTTTATTGACATTCCTACCGATGCTTTGGCTGTCAAGACCGAATTCTAAGTTTTATCGATACTATCAAACAGTTTCGAAATCCTTGAATAGTCTAATTTAGCACGTAAAAAACATAGAACCTAACTATATATACTGGAGTTTTATCACTCGAGAAACGGTACTGGTCTGTGTGTCGGCGACAATTTGTTTTTCAAACGCTAGGCTAATTAAAAAATTTGGTCGACGTAGAATTTGGCTTTGCAGCATATCAATGAATGACATGTATTCAGTCCGGTTGCTTCTTTGGCCATGTCGATCTTGAGTACTGATATCGGTTGTGACGTAAATCTGACTACGTACATTTCCGCGTCCGTCAATGTCATGATTGTTGCGCGTCAAAGGCAGTGCTAACATCCGATTGATTTTGGCAATGAGGACCCTGTCTTTCAGACACTCAGGATAAGTGCCATCATACGGTTGGAATAGTTGATCGAAAAGACAGGTCAGATCTTATCGGCTTACGATGTGCGCACTGACAAAGCTATAACCCAAAAATTTTTGCGCGGAGTGTGGAGGGATGTGTTGTGCATCTTTTCTAGGGAAAAGACTCGTATGTTTGAAGTGCAACTCACATTCTTATCGCTGCATAGACTTGAAAAATATTGGTAGTATTGACGAAAAAAGTAGTTGTCATATTGGTTTAATGTCTGGAAACCTGAAGATTAAAGTGTCCGGCCTTATAATTAAAAGCTTCGCCTAGTACATAATGGTATTTGTAGCCCCAAATATTGAAACTGAAGACTTTTACAGGTAAACGTGTACGCGTTTAAGTCATGTTGATAGCGGCCTCAATTCCGATAGTAGGTTGGTGATAAGTTGGCGCAAACATCCCATAGCCCAAGTTTAACCGATTGTTGTCAATCAGTTAGGTGATTAAGGTAGACAACTTATAGTGAAAAGTAGTGCCAATTGCTACTTCTCGCATCTACAAGAACCTTTAGACGTACACAGCAAACTCATCCCAACTGGCCCTGAACATGATGAAGAACGAAGTCAACTTAGGCGCAGGCTGATAAAAAGCCTGCGCAACGACCGTGAACAGTGGTGGGTAGAGAGAGAGATGGAAAAGGCGGCGGCGATAGGCAACTATTTAGACTCATCAAGGAAACTGGTACTAGGAACCCAAGTGTGAGAGACTATTTCAGAAAAGGATGGTCTTATGATCCATTCTCAATGCAGGACACTTTAAGGATCAGTTCAATTGGCCTCGAGCCACTCTTCGGTTACCCACGATCTCCAGTCATCCTGATTGGCAAGTCGACGTAAGTCCCCCTAGTCTTTATGAATTTGAGAAAGCGTTAGGAAGTCTGAAGCGAGGGCGAGCTGCAGGTCCTGATAGACTTACCCCTGAGATATTTAAGGATGATGGTCCAGTTTTAGTAGCTAGGTTGACTGAGATCTGGGAACAAGACGTAATCCCGTCCGACTGGTCTCACTCACTGATTGTCTCAATCTATAAGAAAGGACAAAAGTCTTCTTGTGACAATCACAGGGGAATAAGTCTAACTAATATAGTTTCTAAACTATTGGCCTCAATAATACTTCGACGCTTAACGAAAGCTCGTGAAAAGCAGACTAGAGAAAACCAGGCTGGTTTCAGACCTTGACGTGGCTGTATAGACCACATCTTCACACGACTGATCCTGGAACACAGACACACATTTAGACGTCCGACAATAGTCGTGTTCCTGGACCTAAAAGCGGCATTTGACTCAGTGGATCTTGAGGTTCTGTGGCAGTGTCTGTCATTGAAAGGTGTACCAAAGAAGTACATTAACCTTATACAAGCTCTCTACTCGAACACCACTGGTCGAGTGAGAGCTTATGGCGAGCTGTCAACGGAATTCTTCACCAGGGATGTCCACTTTCTCCATCCTTGTTTAATTTTATCATAGACATGTTTCTAGAAATAACCTTATCCTCGTCTGAATTTTCAGGAGTAGACCTTCTACCAGGTGGCTCGCTTATTGACTTAGAATATGCCGATGACATAGTCCTACTTGATGAAGACGCTGACAAAATGCAGAGTCTTCTGACTACCATAAGCAACAATGCAAGCATGTTCGGGATGCGGATTCCCCCTCGAAATGAAAAATGTTGCTTCAAGACTGGGTTGCATCGGCACCTGAACTAGTGATAGGGAGTGAAGTAGTCGAGCGTGTTGACCGCTTCACTCACCTGGGGAGTCTCATCAGTGCTGGTGACTGACGAAATCTCAGCTCGGATACAGAAGACTCGATTGGCTTTCGCCAACTTGCGTCACCTATGGCGTAGGCGAGATATCCGTTTGCTGACTAAAGGACGAGTGTACTGTGCAGTGGTTCGCTCCGTCTTACTTTATGGCTGTGAAACATGACCAATGAGAGTAGAAGATATTCGTAGGTTACTAGTTTTCGATCATAGGTGTCTTCGAAGCATTGCTCGTATATCGTGGGACACCCGAGTGAGCAACGCTGTTATTAGGGATCGGGTGCTAGGTAAGAATGGAAGATCAATAGATGAAGTAATGAAACTTCATCAGTTGAGGTGGTTGGGACGTGTGTTACGTATGCCGAACCACCGACTGCCTCGACGAATTTTGTTTTGTAGTGTAGGAATAGGTTGGAAGAAAGTTAGGGGCGGCCAGACCAAAACATGGCAGAAATCCATGAAGTCATTGACGAGTGGACTTAGCCATGTCGGTAATTGTCGATTACCTGGTTGGGGTCCGCGAAATGATAGTAATCGATGGTTAGAGACCTGAATTGACATGGCTCGAAATCGTTTGCAATGGCGCCGGTGCATTTATTCTTTGTGTTCTCTCAAATCCTAATCTTCTGGATTTTTCAACTTTGTAAACTTTTCCCACTGAATCATACTTCTTGAATAATATCTTCTAATCCTAACCTCTCCGATTACTTCTAATACCTTGACTACCTCTTCTACTATTGGATTTGAATTGACAATTACATCTCTGTGCTGATGTGGTATGGCGACATGAACTGATGTACTTACGTACGAAGTTCTACGTTGCATCTGACTGACTGACAAGCTCGGCGGACGGGCTTAAATAGTTGACGATGTCGTACTTGATCAGCAACACCATGTAAACTTTTAAAATACGTCCAATCGTCCAATCTGAGCTAGTGCGTGGACGTTGTAGAATATTGTTTAAAACAGTTCATGACGTTTTAGTTGGAAAGACTATCAACATAGTACGTTGACCATATGGACTGGCGCCTTGTCTTGGTTCAGCCGCCCACAGCTTTCTTGAAACCTAGTCCTACACAATCAGACGTTGCCCCATGTAGGCGGTCGTTGGACATACGTAACACTTGTTCCAACTGCCTCAATTGATGAGGACTTACAACTACATCAGCCAATTCTCCACTCATACTTAACTTCGGACCTGCTCACCTGTTCGTTCCACGATATGCGAGCAATACCTCGAATAGACTTATAATCAAAAACCTTCAGTCCACATATCCTCTACTCTCACACATCATGTTTCAGAGTGGGAAAGTAGAACAAAGAGGACTGCTGCACACTGCTTTCGGTTCGCCAACAGAGATCTCGTCTGTGCTAAAAGTGACGCAAGTGGACAAAGACCAACAACTTTCTGGGTTTTGCTGGACGGTAGGGTTGATGAGACTCCTAAATGAAGAGCTCGACGTATCCAGTTACTTTACTTCCTATCACCAGTCCTGAAGCAACGTGTTGCATTTAGGGGAAGAGAAGCACCCCCCCAGACATGCTGATCAGAAGACCAAAATTTGTCAGCGTCATCTGCGTATTTTTGAGTCTTAGTAGCAAATAGACTCCGAAAAAGATAGTAGTTGAAGAAAATGTTATTTCTAAGTGGATATCGCTGACAAACCTAAATAAAAAAGACAGGGAAACCTTGACGAAACCCATTTTGGTTTGACAGCTCGCTGCAAACTGTGATTTGGTCAATAGCGTTCGAGTAGAGAGCCTTCACCGGGTCCATATGTTTCTTTAGCACGCCTATTAATGAAAAGCACTGCTACAAAACCTTCCGATCAACAAAGTCGATCGCGACTTTGAGGTCAAGAAATACAACTATAGTCAAACGTTGATAATTATGACTATGTCATAATATCACATTCAACTCGACTGCTAAAACTGGATCACCGTCCTTAAAGATTTCTGAGGTTAAGACAGGTGCTGCTCTCCCTTGTTTCAAACTAACCATAATCTTTTCAAATTCATTAAGTGTTGAGGAACTCGAGTCAATTTGCCATTCAGTCTGCTCGGAGATTAGTTGTAGCCCAGTTGAACTGACCTGCAAAGTGCTCTGTCCATCGGTCTAATCTTTTAAACTGAAAGAAAGTAATCGTCCTGCCTCTCTGAAAGTCTCACCGAGATCTGCTCTTATAATACATGCTTTCTAGATGAGTTGGAATATTTATTCAGTACCATCTGATGTAACTGCCATTTCTATCTCTTGCTTTCATTGCCCATAACTGAGTAGACTTTATATTAGTTACGTTTACGTTGTCGTCATTCTTCATCGTCCTCCGAGCCTAACACATTAGGTTCCCGATCATCTAATAACTTAGTGAATGCCGATGATATCCACTGGTCTTTCCTAACCTTTCGACTTAAGTAACTAATAGATGTCATTGTTCTTTTTACTGCAGCCTGGCTATTTTTCCAAACTTCTCAGGATGAACTGTTTCGCTGCAGTCGGTTAGGTATCTGGACAATTTTTCTTATACTCTGCGTTTTCATCTTATATTTGATTTATTAGAGATGTTCCTATTAAAACCTCCGTACGTCCAACTAAAATGATAGGTTTCATTGAGGTATGGCTGGAGTTCAACCACGTGCTACACTATGAGAAGTAGTCTTCTATCGACCGTGCTGATTTTAGAGCTCACCATGTGAGATATCTTTCCTTATGCTCCAAGTTTGTACTTGCCACAAATAACGGGTCGTCTGACAAACATTGCAGCAAACAGGTTGGGACTCTATAAGACCTACCTAAGTGTTTTTATTGTCCCCAGGGTACCTTTCCTAGCCTGTTTAAGATGAAATTAATAGAGTCATTGAGACTACTGAACTTCCATTTATCTCCAGAGCATATACATAGGAACCAATAGGGTTAGAATGGTTCATTTAACTGTCACATCCTTATCCGGTATTACAAGCTGTACAAACGTAGATTGTAGAATTATCATATAAAATATCTAATATTCTTAAACGTCACGCTCATGTTCTGAAAAATATTAAGAAATCTAAGGCCTTTCAGTTGTAAACAATACTTTTATTGCATAATGTTTTGAGTATCTCAGAAATGTACATTTCTCAATATACACGTAATTGAGGTTGTAGCGAAAGGTTTCTACACCGCATATCCTTATCCTCTCTTATCACCTGATGTTCAGAAAATGAATGGCTATATGTAAGATCATTTTATAAGTTTTTACTACAGTCGATACTTTTTATGAATGACAAGGACTGATTTTTTGATCAAATTTTTAGATAGATGCATCTGCTATCCTTTGGGTTTGGAAAATAATCCATATAATTTCATATGATCAATCACACAGTAGCCTGTTATTGAAAACATAGAGAACAAGCGATGAGTATTAATCTTAATCATTGATTATTACAAAAAGAATAAAATACAACTACATTTTTACAAGTGACTAAGTGAATTTTGTGACAAATACTAAAAGCTGTACATTAAGAGATATTAGTATGAATATAGTATCAACAATTAGGCACTGTTTGAAAATACGAAATACCGCTTAGATACAGTTGTAGGTACTCTGGAAAAAAAAGTGAGCGTTACATCCTGTCTAGCAAATTAATGAAATCAAGTGGTAAGGTAAAACACTCCTATTTCACAAGCCAACACATAATACTGGACATTCTTAACGCAGCTGAAATATAGATGGCGTACTTTCTGGTTTGTACTTTAGTTCGAGAGATTGAAACCTGAAAGAAAGCATAAACAACATAGAATACAAAAGCATACATTTCTGAGTTAAGATGATAGTAATAGCCTAGAACATGTCCAATAGATTTTTGTAATCCGATATAATAAAATCCAGCGAATGACGCTCCTTCTATATGTTTCAAACCGGGATCTGGAACAATGAACTTTTCCTAAGAAGATTTTAACACTAACAAAAACAACTCACTTTCCACCTCATAAATATTGTGTCGGATGTTTCTAAAATAGAATAGTCGAAGCTATCTATATGAAAGTTCCCAAGAGAACTGGTTGCTGGTATTTTTTCCTGAAAATAAATTGATAATCACTTAGACAAATACCCAATGTAAAACATCTGTTTCCATTGTCGCATCCCATTTACCTGTCATGAATGGGTGTAGTCTACTTATTATTTCTCCTTCGAAATATGTGGTCAGACTTGGATACTCTTGAGTCAAATTCTCAATTTTCATAAAACCGTACACCATTTTTTGCTTCATATCGACATACTGAATAAAGGTCATGATTATTTGAGATATCGTCTTGCTTGTATAGTTACTTCCACGTTATACTTCTTACCCTTGGATCGTTGAGAACCTGTAAAAACAGCACCACTGCAAAGACATGATGTTATAGTTGTATGTGGAAGCTCCTGTGGTAGCAGATCGACATCAAAAACACCAAGCATTCGTAATGTGATTACTTTCTTAAATTTAACGTGATGAGACCTTGTTTTTGCATGGGGAATAAATAGACAAATTTATAGAAACGATAACAATGTGTAGTATTCCGAACAAAATTCAATGAAATAAACTTTTGAAAGTAACGAACAGAAAATTTGATAACTGATAAATCGTTTTCATAAATGATATGTGACAAGAAAAAGACGTCAGAAGATTGATATAAATAAATTATTCTTAAAAAGCGCCTTATTCAGATAGCCATTACGTATTCTATTCTACATTCCTAGAAATTTTGTTTTCTCGATTTTTCAGTTTATTCCTCCACAATACTCATATGTTTAACCTACAAACAAGTGTTTGTTTAAGCAACCTTTTATTCCTCCACAGCTGTCTTTTATTATTTTAAGTCTAAATATCAAAATCAACTTGAATAGACTTCCGGTGTTAAACGAATATACTTATTTACTAGTAAATGATAATAACATCAGTTATAAATTCTAAGTAGTAGAAAAGTATCTATGACGTAAACCAGCTCATATTCTTCTACGACTTGTTTTTTTGCTTCGTTTTCGTTTACAGACGGGGGAAATTGTATGTAACATCATTTTGTTCAGCCACCTGTGTTTTTCAAGAAAGTATTCACATCTCAATGAGTACTGTTCATGGTAGAATACGATATTCCATGAGTAACACATTCTAGGTATTTGAGTTACTGGAGGTTCGTACATGCATCACCCGACCCCTTAAGCACATGCTTGAGTAGCTGTTATTGAAATTTTTCATAGATTAGAGCAATGCAGACAAACGGTTACTTGCAATCGTATTCTTGAAGTCTAATTACACACTTTGGGAAGTTAGGTAATCTCCCACCGACTATTTCAAACAGCGAATTATTGAAATACGGACTACTATTATTCATCGATTTGATGTGCCAAATTATTGGTTAAGTCTCATTTACTACACTCACAGATAGTACTAGTGAGGTTATTATGACAGTACCAATTGCTTTAACATATGGCGTAAACATCTAGTTCCACACACTAAGTCTGAGGCTTTCTCAGGTGTTATTTGCTTGAAAAAGCAAGAAATATTTGCTAAGATATCTTCTGGCCGCGGAATAACTAGGTTAACCATGAGAAAATCCTTTTATTCCTTCTGAAAAAAATATTGCAAGTTCACACCTGATATTAAAGCCACCGAGTAGGAGTAACTCAAACCCAAGGCGAAGTGAATTTTTTGTATATGATAAACGCTTCGAAAGATACAATTTAATCTAACGATTGAGTGATGAATATGACTTACAGTTCAATAATCCGGAACGTAGATATGGCCTTTAGGTTTTCAAAATTTGACAACTGTATTCCAATGTCTAATGATTTTTGGAAGGTTCCTTATGAAGTTATGGACGAAAAAGAAGGAGCTTTTGATGCGTTTGTATATCTGGAATAATTTATTAGCCAACAAAAGTATGCGAGGACAATTTTATATCAAAACCAGAATAAGGGAAGTTTATATAACACATAAATACTGGACAGTTAGGAATATATATGTTTCATGTTATAAATCTAGGGAGCTGGATGAACAACCTCAAAGTTCTGCAATATCTGATCATATATTTCATTTTCAGCCCACTGATAAGACATGAGTGTCTAACTAACTGATTTCGAGAAATCAAGCTTCGCTGTAAGCAATACACTAGCCTAAAATTGGAGTATATTCGATGATTGTTTTTCCTTACCAGTGGATAGTCAGAAGGTGACCATACAATCCTTGTCACGCCACCAAAAAAAAGGGCAAAAATCCCGTTGTATGCCTAGACTCCTTACAGCAAATTGCAGTCCAAGCGTTTCCCAAGTTGGATGCCACTGGACGAGACGAATTGGTACGCTCCCGTTTCGTCGAAGGGCTGGTGCACGGCCTACTAAGAGAACACCTACCCCGAATGCCACCTGTCAGTACCACCGATTTGAAGAGGACAGCACTTCGGTTTATTACGGTAGACAGGCTGTCAAGCTCATCAGAAGCCCAACAACATTAAGTGATGACCGTGAAAGCAACCATCCAACCCAGTCACGTGGATAGATTCCGGAGAGCCACATCCTCAGCCGAGATACTAGACATGGGGTGTCAAAGTCGAACCGGAACAGACGATCATCATACAACAACTACTATGTCGTCAAACTGAATGTGTCTATTGCAGGCGTTTTGGCAGGAACTCTTGGAGATATAGTCATAACCGATCCCGTAATCCAGGTGAGCCGTGTCCTTACTATTTATCTTCTTGTCATGTTAATCGGATCTGCCCCATCACCCTCAAAGGTAGAGTACAAGTTGTGGCGATTGGAATACTGTTAGACACTGGGGCTTCAGCATCCCTTATCAAGGAAGAGTTCCTGCAGAATATGAACCATAAAGCTCAGCAAAAACGATGCTCTTTCGCGTTAAAAACAGTTAGTGGTGACCCCCTTAAAGTGTGCTATAAGACGCTGTTAAAAAAGATGATAGAGAAGTATCCGTTTCTTCGTGAGTTCTTAGTTTGTCCAGCGTTAACCTGGAACATGATACTCGGCGTTGATTTCATGTTAAAACACCATGTCTCTATATTCATGGATGGGGTAGAAGCAAAAATCGGTGATGTTACGGTACGCCTACACCAGTATGACGGGGCGAATATGCCTGTAGCCCACGTTGGAACTTCAGAACTGGTAGGTCAGGTAAAAAGCAACCAAATGATAAGGGAAAATGATGGTTATGCAACAATTGCTGTGCTTCAAAGGTTTTGTTTTGTGTTCGAGACAAGTATTTCTGGAAATCGTATGAATACAGTGCAACACTCTGTTTTCACAGGGGACCATATGCCACTCCGGCAGCCGCCTCGCAGAGTACCCGTACACTACCGACCACAACTAGAATCGATGATAAAGGATATTTTCGAGTAAAAGATTATAGTCCCTTTATCTTCCCCCTGAGCATCACCAATTTTCTTGTTAAGAAGGAAGATTCTTCGCTCCGACTTTGTGTAGAATACAGACGCCTTAATGCCATAACTAAACGCGATTCTTCCGCGGATCGATGGTACACTGGATGCCTTAAAAGGTGCTTATCGGTTCTCCACCTTGGACCTAGCATCTGGGCAAAAGGAAGTTCGACTGCACGATAGGAATAAATCTGTATTTATAGTACCAAATGGTTTACATAAATTCCAAGTAATGACTTTCGGTTTAACGAATGCCTCGGCTACTTTTCAAAGATTGACTGAAACAGTATTACATGACATAGCGCCCCACAAATGCATGATTTATCTTGATGACATTACTGTATACGGTAGCACACCCGAACAACACAATGCTGACCTGAGAGCCGTTCTACAGGGTCTTAGACAACATAGCCTAAAAGTAAAACCGTCCAAATGCCGCCTTCTGCAGAAAGGATTAGTATTCTTGGGGTGGAGTGGGCACAGATAACGAAAAGGCACGTGCCATTGTTACTTGACCGCAACCAAAAACACCCGAAGACTTTCGTAGTTTCATGGGTCTCGCATCTTATTACAGACGTCTTGTCTGTGACTTTGCATCCTTAGCAGCACGTTTGCACTGGTTGACATAAAGGACGGAAATTTCTATAGACCACTGAGTGTCAACAAGCATTTGAGGCGTTGAAGGCACGATTAACCTCCCCACCTATATTAGCCTTTCCCGATACCTCAGCAGACGGAGGCGAATTCATAATCGATACGGATGCTAGTTCCTCAGCTATTGGATCATTTCTGTCACAAGTAGCTCGAGACTGCCAGGAGAGACTCATCGCATACGCCAGTCGATGACTAAACAAGAGCGAAGCACGGTGTTCCACAACACGCCGAGAGATGTTAGTATTAGTAAAATTCTTACAGCACTTCCGTCATTATCGACTGGGTAGACCTTTTCGTGTACGCACGGACCATCGTGCATTACAGTGGCTTCGTTCTTTCCGCGAACCAGAAGGACTAGTAGCATGCTGGCAGGAGCGGTTGCAACAATTTGATTTCACATACGGATGCAGATTCCTGCTCTCACATACCTAATAATAATGCAATTGTGAGTACAGCCATAGAGACAGAGTGGCCCTCTCTGCAAGCAACAGATCCGGATTTACAGATTATATACCAAAGACACTTACATGAAACAATAAGCCGTCCATTAGGGAGTTAAGAGATCGATACCTTGCAACTCATCGTATTTGTAACAACTATTCCTAGTTAATTAGTCCAGACAACCCCTGCTGACAGTACCACAAGTAAAGACCCAGAGTATTTTGGAGCAAGTTCATCGCGAACTCAGGCACGCAAGAGAATGAAAAACTGAATATGCTGTTCGCCAGCGCTTCTGGTGGCAGTCTATTCACGAAAACGGGACTGAGTTTTGCAAAAACTGTAACACGTGTAGCCGCATAAACAGGCAACCCTTTTTCTTTACAAAACCTGTCATTTAATTTTCAAATAAAAAGTGCCGAGAATACCACTTCGTGTTCTCTCTTGGCATGAAGTACTCAGCTAACCTTGTGTGTTTAGATCTTGTCCGCCCTTCAGTGACTATTTGTTACACGTGTTACAGGAGGATCCTTCGTAGCGTTCACGACCCAAGCCTAGGTAAAACTGACCCGTTAAAAAACGCTAATCATAAAATCAATTAAAACCATTTAAACTCTGACTTGGGAGTTAGAAGGACTTCACTAGAAGCTTTGTGAAGTCTCATGATGAAAGCCGAGCTCATTCGGAAGCCATGAGGATGATTCAAATTCTAACTACCAGAACAACCATTCATTTAGATACATCGAGTGTTTTTAGCCTGTGAGAGACTGAGTGAGTCATTCAAGTTACTGCAGAAAGGTAAAGATGCAACCTAGTAGTACTTGGAATTCGAGAAACCAATTGGACGCAGGTCGATCAACGAAGACTTGCTTCAGGAGAGCTGCTGTTTTACTCCGGCCATGAAGAAGAAAATGCCTCTCACACACAAGGAGTCACAATGGTGTTGTCCAAACAAGCACGAAAAGCACTGATAGGATGGAAATCTAGTGGACCCATGATCATCAAAACCCCCTTCAAAACAAAGATAGGGGATTACAGTGAAATTCATTCAGTGTTGTGCGCCTGACGACGATCTCAATGAAGATGCTGAAGATCAATTCTATGAGAGGTCGTAGTCAGTAGTCGAGAAATGCCCAATAAAGGACCTGACCACTCTGATGAGAGACCTAAATGCCAAAGTTGTAATGGACAATACCCGATGTGAAGACTGTAAATTTATTTCTACAGTGGCCGTCCCAATTGGTTCCAATAGAGGCACTCCTGTACGCTTCTCCCAGCTCCGGGTCCCAACCAATTCAAAAAGGACAAAATTCTAGGAGAAAACGTCTCTGTATTAGTTAAAAAATGGAAATACAAAGCATTACGGATATAGTGCTTCTTCCAGGGTAAAGTTACTCCGCAGAGTATCCGACACAATAACAAATAAGTGACGCTAAGTCCAGCGGCCACTGCGTCCGTCCAAAAATGTGGCGGTAGCCATATTATATCAAATTTAAACAACATATGTACAGTTCAGAAGCAAACACAAAAACTTCAATATAAGTACAAAATATAGAAAGAATAACAATATACAATGATAAAATCTCAAATTGGAATCAAATAAAATACCAAAAATGTCAAAGGAAAAAGTCCGTCATATCATAGCAGAAATATGTAAACATGGAGGGATTTTCCAAAAAACAAAACATTCAAAAAGGATTCTACACCGGCCCGCAAAATCCCTCCATGCAAAAGGAGCAAGCGTTAATGACACTTTATTTAGGGTTCCCCGTTATCCCCTAATCCACACCGGAATAACGTGTAGGACTTACAGCAGTACGCCTACCCGCCATCCAACATGGATATGACCTATCGTGTTAACTAGGTACCTATACTTTCCCATCAGGCCCTTGATTCCCCTATCTATCGTGGCATGACCTAACGGTAGTATAAACCTTACCCAATTAACCCACACGAACATGAACAACACGTCGTAAAACTGGTCATATCCTATCCAAAGACTACATTCTCCATCATGGGGACGAGTCGCCAATCCACCACCACTTGCTCCGATCAGCAGATACAATGAAGCCCGTGATGCTAACTTATCAACAGAAATTTTTGACCCATAAATAATATGCAAGGGTGGGATCTCCAATTTTGACATTTCATCGTCTCCAGAAGACTTTAAGTAGCATGACGTGGGATCAATATTTATCTTTCCATCTCCCGATGCAGAGGAGGTTTGATCAGTGTTCGTCATGGTCGGTAACTCATTTGTCACATCAGTGACATCCAGTTTATTATCAACGTCTAAATGATTCCGTTCTGTCAGACAAGTCGCGTCGATTCGGTGTGCATTAGCATCCGTTTCAGAGACACAAGACATATGCTCATCAATAGCATCGTCATCACCCAGCACTGTAGACTGGCTGTTAACATCAAACACTTTCTTCTCATCATCACTCGACTGACAGTCAACCGTAATAGGAACAGTTACAGTTGCACAACCTTGGGCATCTTCAATCAACTTAACCTTCGTGACGAGGTCCAATGACGTCGAAACACTAGGAGGCTCATTCGATGAAGTTGATAAACTAGTCACTATAAGTGGACTGCTGACACTTTCTATCTCCTTATTATCACTGTCACTACTAAGGTTCTGATGGCTACTATTTCCATGGCTAGTCGTAGCATCCGAAAGAGCATGAGGTTTAGGCTTCTTAATAAAAGTAGCATCATGTTGTCTCCTAGGCTTCTTAGCCGTTACTGTACCACCATCACTTATCCTAGAATCTACTCTAGGTCCAGTTATATAATTTACCCTAACTGAAGGGTTCCGAAAATAAGCTTTATTCCGTTCAGACAATCCTGCCTGGGCCTTACTCATATTTGCTGAACTCATTAACCCCTGATTACTCGAATCCAAATAACCGTTCCAGGCTTTTCGAGCAGCTATGAGGCTTTTATCATCACACACTTCGGATCCATCTTGATGCCTACACTTTTCACCTTTTTCTTTCTTTTCCATTCTTAGAAAAGCCATCTTATCTGTTACACCAACCGGCTTCTTGCTAGGATACGCATCAAGAGGTTTTACATCGTTACGGTCACATACTCGTCCTTTATCAGCGTATGCTTTCGTGATATAATTGACAACTCTTTTATCTTCCGAGCGTGCTTTAGGTAGAAACGAAAAATCCTCATGTCTCGCACGCAGACCACTAGTAGCTTCCGTATTATTTCCTGTTTTAGCCTGATAAGCTAATCTTCCAAACCTACTACTAGCTATCTTAGCACGAGACATAATAAATTCCGTCAATTCATTGAAACTAGGCTCTCTCTCCTCTTCGTCCCACTTGATTACTAGCTCTGCCCACTGGGCTTGCATTCGACGAGGTAAGAGCCTGACTATTCGTTCTAAAGTAACCATGGAATTAAGTTCCGTTGTGCAATTTAGCTGTTCTAAAGTTAAAGCAGCATTCTGCATTTTAATAGCCAAATTCGTCAATAATTCAGGATCATTGAAATCTACATTCCCAGTTCTAAATAAATCCTCTAAGGTTTCTCGGGCTATTACATGCGACTGTCCAAAGAGCTGTTTTAAAATGGCCTTAGCTCTCTTATATCCTGCTTGTGGATCCATAATAATACAGCCTTCAATCGCATTTTTTGCTTTTCCCTTACAATAATGAATTAAATACAAGAAACGCACTTGATCGTCTTTTATTCGGGGTTCTATAAACGTCTCGAATTGTCGCATGAACCTAAAATAGTCGCGAGACCTTCCATCAAAAAATGAGAGTTCAACCTTAGGTAGTTCTAAACCCTCTATCGATGTCTTTCGTATCTGATCGGTCTCTGGTACTTTAGAACTCTCACTTAATCCTGATTCCTTAATGCCTGCCGAGGGTGACTTACAATAATAAATATCAGACATAACATGTGGGTTACCCATAAAAAGTCATCATTAACGACTTGCCTAGAGCCCTGTGATCCGTCGAGCTTTTCCACCCTCCTCATGTGTGATTTTTTTCTGTTTGACATCATAAATGAAGTTCAAAAGGAAAGGTAACAAATACAAAATATAGTAATTCCACAGTTCAGCTTCGGAATATGATAAATAATCCAACTTCTTTCTCCAAGAAAGTCTAGTGGGATAAACGATTAAAATTCCAAATGTTTCTTTATAATTCTTAATAATCCAACTGTAATCGTAATAGAATTATATCCAGACTGTAAATTTATTTCTACAGTGGCCGTCCCAATTGGTTCCAATAGAGGCACTCCTGTACGCTTCTCCCAGCTCCGGGTCCCAACCAATTCAAAAAGGACAAAATTCTAGGAGAAAACGTCTCTGTATTAGTTAAAAAATGGAAATACAAAGCATTACGGATATAGTGCTTCTTCCAGGGTAAAGTTACTCCGCAGAGTATCCGACACAATAACAAATAAGTGACGCTAAGTCCAGCGGCCACTGCGTCCGTCCAAAAATGTGGCGGTAGCCATATTATATCAAATTTAAACAACATATGTACAGTTCAGAAGCAAACACAAAAACTTCAATATAAGTACAAAATATAGAAAGAATAACAATATACAATGATAAAATCTCAAATTGGAATCAAATAAAATACCAAAAATGTCAAAGGAAAAAGTCCGTCATATCATAGCAGAAATATGTAAACATGGAGGGATTTTCCAAAAAACAAAACATTCAAAAAGGATTCTACAAAGACATCATAGTGGACGAAATGGACTGAGAGAAAGCAACGAAAGTGATGAGAGGTCAGTAAACCTATTTTGCCTTCAACAAACTGGTCATTGGTCACCATACTCGCACGCAAACGTATACACCGGGTCACACTACTCTCAACCGAATCCACCATATCTGAATCAATAAAAATTTGAGAAGGACCATGCAGGACGTGAGAAACAAGAGAGGAGTTGTTATAACCTCAGATCATCACTTGCTGGTTTCCAACATGAAATTGAAACTTAAGAAGCACCGGACCATGGGGCGAGCAGGTTCATATCCTTATATGCTTGACGGGTTGTTTGCTAATGTTAGCTGTCTGAACTAATCTGAACCGGGTAATTTTACATCGGCTGTCTGATTGAGTTTAAGTGAGGTTGATTGGGTGTAGCAAGGGCACATCTACTCTGGTTAGTTACCAGCTGGTCTACACGACGTCAGATTGACTTGATCTAACATAGACGTGTCACGATGCAGCTTGGTACTGATCAACATTTTCATTAGTTCGGCTGATTCTCGGGTAATAATTCAAGTCTCGAATGGTCACTATGATTCCATCACTGTCGCCAATTGTTACGCACGCAAGTCAACACGTAATATGGTACGCTTTGACTACTACGAGTTCAACTTAGTCAGTTAACGAGAGAGAGACAGTGATCCAGTGACATGATATGCTACTCTAATCCTTTGGCCAGTCTAACTGAAGAAAAAGTCTTGATATGGCGTACAAAGTGTATTCTACAAACATACAGAAAGTAATATATCCGAGTTCAGAAGCGGATGAGTATCCCGTGCGAAGGATCCGGATCATAAAACGTTCCAGATAATAGATATTTATATATTTCGTTCGAATACGAAACAACATTGAAGTATGTGACTTTGATAGTTAGGACGACCAATAAAAAAGCAAGATTGGAAGAATGTGACATGCTCAAGTTTAAATGAGCATAAGAGCTGAACAGTAATAGAAGTTCGGTGGTGTAGATGAGTTATTGCTGTATGAATGACGTTCTGCTAAGTTGATACACTGGTTTAACCCAGTCAAATATAAACAAACTGAATTTTAAGGGAGGTCCTATATTAGTTATTGTGAAGGGCGTGTAGCACAGAGTTCGTAATAATGATATGAAGAGGATGGGTGACTAAAGGTCGATGTGCATTCAGTAAGACTAATAAGGTCAGCATCAATGTTTAAGGCTTAAAAACCATTAATTTTGGGGACTGATTTACAAGTACAAATTTTTATCATCCGAATTATAGATTTATTCTAGTCAGCAATCACTCCTTTCACTCAGATATCCAATACAAGTTGAGGTCAGCTCCACGATCATGCCAGTACCTGAAGTTTAATTGCTAGATAGCTCACCTGTCATTTTTAGACTTCCGCTTGTTTAAAATGTCTGAATAATTGGCCATTTAATTACTATTAAGCATTCCTTTCGATTGCCTAAACTAGGGAATCTTCCTTTGATATTATTCAACACTGTAAGGAACATTGTGCTTCGCCATGTGATTGTTGCTAGTTTCGAAAACCCTACTACCTGAAAACATTACGCTTTACCCACTCACAAATAACTACAGAAACGAACAGAAGTAGTTCAACCGAGTAGATAGAATGCATTTCACCGAACGTTTTAAAAAATTTTAAACTATACTGAGGCGGGAAAACGCTAGGTGAAAGAAATAATCTTGTTTGTCCTTGTTCGGTTAAGTGATATTGGATATTGTCCGTCCGAAAAATTTGATATATTGACCTTGAGCGCTACAATGGACGGGCTGGAGAAACCACAATCTTACTTAAATTGGACAACCACTCAAGTCATATCTTGGCTTTCTGGTATTTAAAAACTACTTAACTAGCTTTTTGCTAGGGTTGGACGACGCTATTGGACCGTATCTATCTTCGTTTAGTTCGAAAAATATAAATGGAAAATGGCTTAGCTCACTGACTGCTGATGTTTTGGACAAGTATGGAGTTCACAAGATTGGCCATCAAATGATCATCATGGAGAAAGTCAAGCAACTACAATACCAGTTTTCTTCTTTCGATAACGAAACACTTCAGTCAGTTTTATTGCGTGTTTCACGTTCGTGTACGTGCATTGTCACAGCAATAAACTCTCTTATGGCTATAACTAAGAGACAAGATGCTGACAGTCCTTATCCGGGGATTCTTTTAGATATTCAGGGGGCTGTCTCCTACATTCTTAGTTGTATACTGAACTTAATGTCTACGATTGGAAATGCTGCATCCTGGCTGGAGCGGTTAGTTTTTAGCTATTTAGATATAATAAAATAGACCTCCTTTCTCTTTTCTTCCTGATATGGTTGTTTTTCGACAATTTCTTGTTGAAAATGCCATAATCACTAATAGGCTGTCTCAACAGGCTATAAGTACTCAATGTAATGAACACTTTAAGGAGATACTTGATTATGTATGTCGAAAAATTCGTATTGTCATATTTAAGATTGAACCAATGAAAAGTCGTGTCGAAGATGTCCTTCAAAATTGTGGTGATTCTATTCTACTAACTCCATGTGGGATCGAAATGGTGCAAATACGGAAACTTGACTCAGCTGATTTTGTAAGTTCCCTTTTGAGTTTTTTAACTCCTGATTTGTCTGTTGTGATATTTTACCGTGTTTCACTTCATTTGGCGTGTGTAAATTTTCATTCATACATTCTTAAGCACCAAATAATCATTGTTTGCCTTATTATCCTTGTGTACAAGCTCACTTTAGTTACCATATTTTTACAACTGTTAATCACGTTTGACCCTATTTTTGATACTTAAGAATGTCTGAAGTGCAGACCTAATATCTAACACTACTAATCAATATACTACTATGCTCTTAGAGTGATTTAAATCCACTGCTCGCACTGGCGTAAAGTTTTTTCGGCCCATGATTTTACTCTGCAAGTACTTCATCGGGTTAAATACGACCCCCAAATGCCCTTATACGACCAAAAGTGGGACACGTCCGATCTTCCTCTCGAAATTACGTCATAGAACGATACGCATATAGCCACTGTTCTTTGTGTTCTCTCAAATCCTAACTTTTGAATTCTTCATAACCTTTATCTTTCTCTTTTTTAAGTTTATTTCACTAGTTTATACTTCTTGAATATTATCTTCGGACCTTAATCTTATCGATTCATGCTAATATTCCTAATACCCCTACTACTATGGGATTTGAACGGACGATTACATCCCTGCTAACGTAGTATGGCAACTTGAACTGATGTACTTACGGTTCTACGTTGTAACTAATTGACTGACTATTGGGGAAGTCATATTCCCTGTCATTTTGCGGCCGTGGTGCTTACGAGATCGAGAGGATGTGAAGCAAATTTTCTGAAACCTAAACTGACTGGTGGTTACGGAAGGTTCACCTAGGGGAGTTGATAAACTGATTTCAAATCAACGGTCAATATGAACTTCAGGATCACTAAGCAATAGGTAATGGGTGAACCTATTATGAGTCACCGTTTGTCATGAGGCTGTATTTCTTGACCTTGTGGATTGAGTTTTTGAGTCGAAGCATCTGGGAATGGTCACTTAATAAAACTACCTGCCTCAGTTTGGGCATCTGAGCAGTCCCCAACCCCTGACACAATAATTTGTGTTGTGCATACATGTTTAAGTGCCTCTGCACCAGTGTCCAAGCAAATAATAAATAAATAAAGTTGCAAGCATAGTCAGCTGGTTTTTTGAAGAATTACTTAAAGTAGCTAATTACTGACTAATGGTTTCATACTGTTTGTTTTGATGAATATCTGATCACTGCAACTATTTTTCTTACATATTCAGTTATTATCTTCATGTTTGCATAGTGAATTACCTGTTAGGTGATGTAAAAGTTTAACGCTTGATTGGTACAAGAGTAGAAGTTTTCCCTTACATATCTCTTCATATTCCTTTTCAGGGATTTAATTTTCGGTCCACAATAAACAATATCCATGTAATTGTTTCTGTTCAAGATGAGGTAAGTGAACGCGCATATAGTTCATTATTATTCTTTACAGTTACAACGTATAACCTCGTACGTACGTACGTAAGCGCATGTTGCCATACAGACGTGTAGACTACCTGGTTTTGGTCCGAGAGACAACAGTAAGCAATAGTTAGAAACCTTGGATGACATGGCTCAAAATCGTTAGCAATAGCGCAGGTGTATCCATTCTTTGTCTTCTCTCATGACCCCATGAACTCACGAACTTTTCTTATCTATTTTTAAATTTATTACACACTGGATTATACTTCTTGAATAATCTCTTCGAACCCTAATCTATCCGATTACTTCTAATACTTTTACTACCTCTACTACTATGGGATTTGAATTGACAATTCGATCTCTGTGCTTATGTGGTATGGCAACGTGAACTGCTCTACTCACCTACGAAGTTCTACGTTGTAACTGACTAACTGACTGAAATCGCTTTCCGAAGTCCTTAAGTATTTGAATCTTTGTTCAGATATAACAAAAAGTTTCGGGAATCGTATTTTCAGACAATTATCATATGCTTTTTTTGAAAAGATGAAGTTGATTATCTCAATTTGCCATCACCAGTAAACGATTTCCTCATGTCTGATATTGCGTTACCTTTTACCGAATATCGTGCGTTCTACACTTTCAATAAGACCATAAGATAAATTCAGGAATGAATTGCCAACGCTGTATCTTCCATTTCTACCGTATCGAATGCACTGGCTATGTTTTTGTGGAACAAATGGTATTCACTTAAAGAAAATTTGTGCTCCTGTTTATCGAAATAACATTTCAACTTAATTATTACATGTTTTATCAGCTTTTTTGGATAAATTCGAACTTTTCGAGACTACTTGCAAATTGGACTTTTTCATTTGTCTTGTTTTAGTCCCCAGCATTTAGTACTGGAAAAGTTACTAAAGGAGATGAAGTAATTGAAGTAAACGAACAAATAGTTGTAAGTCTGTAACATGTATATTCTATTTCGGTGTACTATATTAAAAAATATGCAGTTAGTATATAAAGTATACTACTCGCCAGCATAAATTGAGTTACAAACATTCAGAAACTATTCACGAAAATTACTACTCGGTTGCTAATATCTCGTTTCCTTATCGATATTTCGCATAATTTAATTCCTGCTTTCTTATCATAATGTTTTCAGTTTTAATTCGAAATCTTCTCACCAAACATTTATAGGACGTTCATTATAATCAAAATTTCACTGTTTATCTATGTTTTACCAGATTGGTTGGCTTCACTATCGTGTCGCTGATTTGATGCGGCATTCTTCGCAGCATATTAGTTTGCGATTGCGGAAGCGACCTTCACATTCCAACGACTTTATTGGTTTTCCAGGGGCTGGGCGGCGTCATCGCCTGATAGTCAATCAGATACCACCTGCTGGGAGTTTATCTCAGACACGAGGTGCGTATCTATTTGCACGAAATCCAAAACGCCGTCTGCCTCTTACTGGCCCACTTTCTGCAGAACCTCTGGCTGTTACTCAAGAAACTACCTCTGATCAAACATCTGTTTCTTCACCAACATCAACATCACCTGAATCCCAATCAATAGTTAGTGTGTCTGGGTTGTTTTCATCTCCGACATCTTCCTTATCTGTGCATCAGGGTACATCAATAAAAATAAGTGATGATTCTTGCAATCTAGAAAATATTGCTCATATATCTTCTAGACCGAATTCCAGTAATGAATCTATTATTTACAATAATTCAAGACTTATTGCAAGTACACCGAATACTCCATTAATGACTTTACGATCAATGGACTTAGTATGTTCTCATTCTTCACTATCGTTCCCACCTCCTCTCCCACCTACATATCCTGGTATTACCACCTTTGATAATGGAATGAATGATCCGAGTGTGTCATCTGATACTATGTACTCAAAGTAAGTAAATATTTAGAAAACACATCAAGATTGTTCAGTATTCAATATGAATCGTTTTGGTCATTCCTAATTAAATTCTGCAGTAGTATGCCAATTGATCTATGAAAGCTGACATCACAACGAACTTATGTTAGATTGTTGTATAAAATTTTCAGAGATTTTTGTGAGTAGTTTTCGTTTTTTGGACATGCACTGGCAGGAGGTATCTACAACTTTGAAATAAACTTACGTCCTTTCAGCAGTTCAAATCATAGTCACTCAGAAAGCCTACTACTAGGCTTTTTAGACTGGGAAAGACTTATTGTAGAGCTGTACCAAGTACACACTGGTTACTAAAACGTAACCGGTACTACATTTCCATCTTGCTCACCCTATTGCATCAATAAAGCTTAGAATATAGCCTCTTCTGACTGTTTCCTAACTGGATTTGTTTTCCAATTGATAAATATTACTTCAAAAACTGAAAAGTAGATGTAACCGATCATCGTAGTCTTTAATTCCCATATATTTTTTATTGACAGCAGCTTATTTAGAGTTGTAAAATAGTGGTATATTACACGTTACTGTGCCATTGTGTGGATTAAGTAAAAATATACCATCATCATCAACAGCAACGTAGAACTTTGCTCTTAAGCGCTGCAGTTAAAGTTACCATACCACATAAGCACATAGATCGAATTGTCAATTCAAATCCCATAGTAGTAGAGTTAGTAAAAGTATTAGAAGTAATCGGAGAGATTATTCAAGAAGTATAATCCAGTGTGTAATAAATTTAAAAATAGATAAGAAAAGTTCGTGAGTTCATGGGGTCATGAGAGAAGACAAAGAATGGATACACCTGCGCTATTGCTAACGATTTTGAGCCATGTCATCCAAGGTTTCTAACTATTGCTTACTGTTGTCTCTCGGACCAAAACCAGGTAGTCTACACGTCTAAACCTACTAGCATAACTCAACCCAGTTATCAGTGACTTCATGGATTTGTAGCATGTTTTGGTTTGGCCGCCCCTAGTTTTCTTCAACCTACTCCTACACCGTAAAACATTACTCTCAACCTCATAAAGACTCGGAGGACTCAAATCAATGCTTCAAAGACGTCTATTATCAAATACCAATAACCTACGACTATCCTCATCTCTTATGGGCTATGTTTCGCATCCATTTTGTGGGACGGCGAGAACTTCTGAGCAATAGACTCATCCTTCGGTTAGCCTACGTTAGTAGTGACGCAAGTTGGCGAAAGCCAATCGATCCTTCTGTATCGTGCTGAGATTTCGTCAGTCACCAGGCCATCAAAGACTGGTGTGTGATAAGTGAAGCCATCAACACGCTCAACTACTTCACTCCCTATCACTAATTCAGGTGCCGATGCAACCCAATCCTGAAGCAAAATTTTGCATTTCGAAGCGGAGAATCGCATCCTGAACGTGCTTGCATTGTTGCTGAGAATGGTCAGAAGATTGCATTTTGTCAGCAATCAGTGATTGAGATCAGTCGGATGGGATTACGTCCAGTTTCCAGATTCTAGTCAAGCCTTCAGTCAATCTAACTGCCAAAACTGGATCACCATCCTTAAAAATCTCAGAGATAATCTATCGGGTTCTACTGTTATCACTCGCTTCAGATTGCTTATAGTCTTATCAACCTCTTAGAATTCAAGACATCAATCTGACATTCAGGTTGACTGGAGATTGTGGATATAGTTTAGGTGCTCCTTAAAGATAGCTGAAATATTTCCTAGTGTCCTGCCCGTTAGTTCAATCTTCTGAACTGAAGGTAAATAAAAGTGCTCAGGTATTCCCTTTAACAGCCGGATTTCTAATACCGATTTCCTTGACAAGTCTGAATAGTTGTCTGCTGTTACCTATTACCGCTGCCTCTTCCATCTCTCATGCTTTCGCTGTCCACTACTGCTCGCAATCACTGCCTAGGCTTTTTATCAGCTTCCACTTAAACTGACTCCGCTCCTCATCATGTTCTCAACTGTTTTTTTAGTTGCTCCGGAAGCATATTCCTAGCTTTGTTATTTATCTATCTATCTATACGATGTTTAGTTGCAGTGTCTTGCGTACTTGAGGACTGAAGTCGCCAGCCATTATCACTATATCAGAGCACCTAACTTTTCGGAGGAGTTCTGAAAGCTTTCTGTAAAACTCATCTTTTACCTCATGTGAGCTGCAGTCAGTTGGATCGTAGGCAGAGACGACAAAGAGGCCACGGCAAGTGTCCTTATCTTTACAAGTCCTTAATGTCCCGTTTAGTCGGACAGCGCACAAGCGACTATCTACTGGGATGCAGTCTAGAAGGGTTAGTAAGTGTGTAGGAAGGATTTGGTTGTCGGGTATGAGGGCGGATATCACTTCCCGACTGCCCACACAGTGCAAGGGTGTTTCTTGAGGAACCTGGAAAGGAGACCTGATTGGTGTTGGTCTTAGCGACCTGGGAGCGTGACCGTAAAGTTCATGGAACAACTGCTTGAGGCCGGTTACTCACTGCCTTTTCATGAGAAGTTTGTAGTGTTAGCTCCGCTCTTTTCAAAAGGTCATACCGCTGGGGACAGAAATCTGTTACGTAAGATGAGATGGGTTTACCTTTTCTAACCCTTTCCTTTTTTCTAAGAAGGCAGCATGGCTAAAATCAGCAGTATGACTTCGCCCTCGGACCTTGAGTTGCTGCTTCCTGTCTTATCGTTCTTTCGTCGTGCCTGGCATGGTAGGACCTAACGTAACATATGTTCCAGCCAATATAGCTCGTTTTGGTTATCACTAAAGGCAAGACCGACAACCATGTCAACGTAGCAGCTACGCTCGGCTATCAGTTCAACTTCCAGTTATTAATTCAATGAAAAATACAATTCGACAAACATCTTCATCGAATCCAAGTTCTTCGAATGTGCTAAATTTACTCTCTGAATATAAGACAAATATGAGCGGTGAGAATTTACTACTTCATGACAGTGGGTCAGACAAAAAATAATTTTGTTGTGTTTTACATCTGGGAATTTAAAATTGTTTGAACATTATGCTTACGGGACATTTAAGACCTTGCCACCTTTGTTTAGTCAGCTCTGAACAAATCATGTTATCAAATTCAGTATGATTTTTGCGACGGTTTGTATTTTACTGAATATTTAATAAATTAAACGAATTGCACAATCCACTCTCATAACAGATAACGCACACTCAGCATTATCACCATTTCCAAAGGTAAATCAGAATATGGTACAAAAGAGGTGTCTATTCCATCTGAGCTGATGTATATGGCGGAAACTTCAACAACGTTATATAGCAGACGAAAATCTTGTTTTATAGATCCGTCATCGCTCTTGTCAAAGCGCACCCATTTGAAAGACTACGTTACGTATTCATTTAACCCTAATTTCCATTACCACTAAAACTCTTACTACATCTACCATTATGGGATTTGAGTCTACGATTTCATTTCTGTGTGATTGTGGTATGACAACTTGAACTAATGTACTAGCTTTAGGGGAACTGCTGTTATACTCTGGTCATGAAGAGGAAAATGTTTCACATACACAAGGAGTTGCACTGATGCTGTCCAAACATGCACAAAAGGCACTGATAGGATGGGAATCTCATGGACCCAGGATCATTTAAGCATCCTTCAAAACAAAGAAAGAGAACATTACAATGAACGTCATCCAATGTTATGCACCTTCCAATGACTACAATGATGACGTTCATGATCAATTCTAAGAAAGGCTTCAGTAAATCGTCGAGAACTGTTCACCAAAGGATTTGACGATTCTGATGGGAGACCTGAATGCCAAGGTTGGAATGGACAACACTGGATATGAAGACATCATGGGACGACATGGACTGGGAGAATGGAACGAAAACGGTGAGAGATTTTCAAACCTATGTGCCTTCAACAGACTGGTCATCGGTGGCACAATATTCTCGCACAAACGCATACACAAAGCCACATGGATTTCACCGGACCACACTACTCAAAACCAAATTGACCATATATGTATCAACAAAACGTTCAGAAGGAAAATGGGGGATGTGAGAACCAGGAGAGGAGCTGATATAGCCTCAGATAACCATTTGCTGATCGCCAAAATGAAACTGAAACTAAAGAAGCACTGGACAACGGAACAGACAACATCACAGAAGTTTAATACGGCCTTTCTTCGGGATAATGTAAAACTCAACGAATTCAAGATAGCCCTCACCAATAGGTCCCAGGCCTTACACGATATACTCAATGGAGAGGACGCAACATTGGAGAACAATTGGAAAGGGATTAAAGAGGCAATCACTTAAACATGTCACGAAGTTCTGGGTCACAAGAAGTACCATCACAAGGAATGGATCTCTGTTGATACTCTTGCAAAAATTGAAGAAAGGAGGAACAAGAAGGCAGCAATCAATGTCAGCCGAACAAGAGCAGAGAAAGTTAAGGCATAAGCTGCATACACAGAAGCAAACAAGGAAGTGAAGAAGAGCATCAGAGCTGACAAACGAAAATATGTGGAAGATCTAGCAATGACGGCGGAAAAGGCTGCAAGAGAAGGAAACTTGAGACAATTGTACGAAACAACAAAGAAGCTGGTCGGAAACTATCGTAAACCAGAACGACCAGTGAAAAGCAAGGAAAGCAAAGTAACCAGCAACACTGACGAACAGCGAAATAGGTGGGTAGAGCACTTTCAGGAACTCCTGAATCGACCAGCTCCACTGAACCCACCCAACATCGAAGCAGCATCCACGGACCTCCCGATTAATATTGACGCACCTACAATTGAGGAGATCAGTATGGCCATCAGACAAATCAAGAGCGGCAAAGCAGCAGGACCAGACAACATTCCAGCAGAGGCAATGAAAGCAGATGTAGAAGCAACTGCGAAAATATTTCACAACCTCTTCAAGAAGATTTGGAATGAGGAACAAGTACCATCAGATTGGAAAGAAGGATACCTCATCAAAATACCAAAGAAAGGCGATCTCAGCAAGTGTGAGAACTACAGAGGCATCACTATTCTTTCAATACCAGGCAAAGTCTTCAACAGGGTATTGTTAAACAGAATGAAGGACTTCGTAGATGCCCAACTTCGAGATCAACAGGCCGGATTTCGCAAGGATCGATCATGTACTGACCAAATTGCTACATTACGGATCATTGTGGAACAATCAATTGAATGGAACTCACCACTCTACATCAACTTCATCGACTACGAGAAAGCATTCGATAGCGTGGACAGGAAAACACTATGGAGGCTTCTTCGACACTACGGAATTCTTATGATGGATTCAACTGCAAAATCGTGCACGGAGGTCAGCTGACAGACTCTTTCGATGTGAAGACCGGTGTCAGGCAAGGTTGCTTACTCTCACCCTTGCTCTTTCTCCTGGTGATCGACTGGATTATGAAGACGTCGACATCTGGAGGGAAGCACGGTATCAACTGGACAGTTAGGACGCAGCTGGACGATCTGGACTTCGCAGATGACCTGGCTCTTCTATCGCACACGCAACAACAAATGCAAGAGAAGACGACCAGTGTAGCAGCAGCCTCTGCAGCAGTAGGTCTCAACATACATAAAGGAAAAAGCAAAATTCTCCGATGCAACACAACATGCACCAACCAAATCACTCTTGATGTAGATGCCTTGGAGGACGTTAACACGTTTACATATCTGGGCAGCATCATCGACGAGAAAGGTGGATCCGATGCAGATGTGAGGGCGCGGATCGGCAAAGCATGGGCTGCATTTCTACAGTTGAAAAATATCTGGAACTCCAAACAACTTTCAATCAAAACCAAAATCAGGATTTTCAATACAAATGTCAAGACAGTTCTACTGTATGGAGCGGAAACATGGAGAACTACCAAAGCCATCATCCAGAGGATACAAGTGTTTATTAACAGTTGTCTATTTAAAATACTTCGCATTCGTTGGCCATACACCATCAGCAACAACGAACTGTGGGAGAGAACAAGTCAGATTCCAATGGAGGAGGAAATCAGGAAGAAGCGGTGGAAGTGGATAGGACACACACTACGAAAAGCACCTAACTGCGTCACGAGACAAGCCCTCACATGGAACCCTCAAGGCGAAAGGAAAAGAGGAAGGCCAAGGAACACATTACGCCGAGAAATAGAGAAAGATATGAGAAGAATGAACACAAATTGGACAGAACTGGAGAGGGAAGTTCAGGACAGAGTTGGTTGAAGAAAACTGGTTTTCGTTTATTTTCAGTTAGCATGTTTCATATGGTATGTTACTTACTTACTTACGCCTGTTACCCTCAATGGAGCATAGGCCGCCCACCAGTTTTCTCCAACCAACTCTGTCCTGAACTTCCCTCTCCAGTTCTGTCCAATTTGTGTTCATTCTTCTCATATCTTTCTCTATTTCTCGGCGTAATGTGTTCCTTGGCCTTCCTCTTTTCCTTTCGCCTTGAGGGTTCCATGTGAGGGCTTGTCTCGTGACGCAGTTAGGTGCTTTTCGTAGTGTGTGTCCTATCCACTTCCACCGCTTCTTCCTGATTTCCTCCTCCATTGGAATCTGACTTGTTCTCTCCCACAGTTCGTTGTTGCTGATGGTGCATGGCAAACGAATGCGAAGTATTTTAAATAGACAACTGTTAATAAACACTTGTATCCTCTGGATGATGGCTTTGGTAGTTCTCCATGTTTCCGCTCCATACAGTAGAACTGTCTTGACATTTGTATTGAAAATCCTGATTTTGGTTTTGATTGAAAGTTGTTTGGAGTTCCAGATATTTTTCAACTGTAGAAATGCAGCCCATGCTTTGCCGATCCGCGCCCTCACATCTGCATCGGATCCACCTTTCTCGTCGATGATGCTGCCCAGATATGTAAACGTGTTAACGTCCTCCAAGGCATCTACATCAAGAGTGATTTGGTTGGTGCATGTTGTGTTGCATCGGAGAATTTTGCTTTTTCCTTTATGTATGTTGAGACCTACTGCTGCAGAGGCTGCTGCTACACTGGTCGTCTTCTCTTGCATTTGTTGTTGCGTGTGCGATAGAAGAGCCAGGTCATCTGCGAAGTCCAGATCGTCCAGCTGCGTCCTAACTGTCCAGTTGATACCGTGCTTCCCTCCAGATGTCGACGTCTTCATAATCCAGTCGATCACCAGGAGAAAGAGCAAGGGTGAGAGTAAGCAACCTTGCCTGACACCGGTCTTCACATCGAAAGAGTCTGTCAGCTGACCTCCGTGCACGATTTTGCAGTTGAATCCATCATAAGAATTCCGTAGTGTCGAAGAAGCCTCCATAGTGTTTTCCTGTCCACGCTATCGAATGCTTTCTCGTAGTCGATGAAGTTGATGTAGAGTGGTGAGTTCCATTCAATTGATTGTTCCACAATGATCCGTAATGTAGCAATTTGGTCAGTACATGATCGATCCTTGCGAAATCCGGCCTGTTGATCTCGAAGTTGGGCATCTACGAAGTCCTTCATTCTGTTTAACAATACCCTGTTGAAGACTTTGCCTGGTATTGAAAGAATAGTGATGCCTCTGTAGTTCTCACACTTGCTGAGATCGCCTTTCTTTGGTATTTTGATGAGGTATCCTTCTTTCCAATCTGATGGTACTTGTTCCTCATTCCAAATCTTCTTGAAGAGGTTGTGAAATATTTTCGCAGTTGCTTCTACATCTGCTTTCATTGCCTCTGCTGGAATGTTGTCTGGTCCTGCTGCTTTGCCGCTCTTGATTTGTCTGATGGCCATACTGATCTCCTCAATCGTAGGTGCGTCAATATTAATCGGGAGGTCCGTGGATGCTGCTTCGATGTTGGGTGGGTTCAGTGGAGCTGGTCGATTCAGGAGTTCCTGAAAGTGCTCTACCCACCTATTTCGCTGTTCGTCAGTGTTGCTGGTTACTTTGCTTTCCTTGCTTTTCACTGGTCGTTCTGGTTTACGATAGTTTCCGACCAGCTTCTTTGTTGTTTCGTACAATTGTCTCAAGTTTCCTTCTCTTGCAGCCTTTTCCGCCGTCATTGCTAGATCTTCCACATATTTTCGTTTGTCAGCTCTGATGCTCTTCTTCACTTCCTTGTTTACTTCTGTGTATGCAGCTTATGCCTTAACTTTCTCTGCTCTTGTTCGGCTGACATTGATTGCTGCCTTCTTGTTCCTCCTTTCTTCAATTTTTGCAAGAGTATCAACAGAGATCCATTCCTTGTGATGGTACTTCTTGTGACCCAGAACTTCGTGACATGTTTAAGTGATTGCCTCTTTAATCCCTTTCCAATTGTTCTCCAATGTTGCGTCCTCTCCATTGAGTATATCGTGTAAGGCCTGGAACCTATTGGTGAGGGCTATCTTGAATTCGTTGAGTTTTACATTATCCCGAAGAAAGGCCGTATTAAACTTCTGTGATGTTGTCTGTTCCGTTGTCCAGTGCTTCTTTAGTTTCAGTTTCATTTTGGCGATCAGCAAATGGTTATCTGAGGCTATATCAGCTCCTCTCCTGGTTCTCACATCCCCCATTTTCCTTCTGAACGTTTTGTTGATACATATATGGTCAATTTGGTTTTGAGTAGTGTGGTCCGGTGAAATCCATGTGGCTTTGTGTATGCGTTTGTGCGAGAATATTGTGCCACCGATGACCAGTCTGTTGAAGGCACATAGGTTTGAAAATCTCTCACCGTTTTCGTTCCATTCTCCCAGTCCATGTCGTCCCATGATGTCTTCATATCCAGTGTTGTCCATTCCAACCTAGCCATTCAGGTCATTCAGGCAACTTGAACTGATGTGCGTACGCAGTTCTTCGTTGTAGCTGACTGACTGACGACTGTTATAGTATGAATGTAGAGAGATCTTGTCTGAAACTATCTTTGTGTTTCACTTAATGATTTTAGTTCTCTCAGGTGTTCATTACCACTTTCATACTAATCAATGGACTACGAAATCATATTTTCCATTTGATTGTTTATAGAAAATACAAGGCTGTCAATTCTTCGCATCATATTCGTTCAACTTCTTGTTCTTCAAACAAATCTGTTTTCCCTCGTCTCTCGCTAACACATCGACGTGCTGCATCTGGTGATCCAAAACTGATGAACAATATCTCTAGTGGCAATGGGGAAGGTTAGTAAGTAATGCAGTGTTGTCATGCTTTTTTAGATTGGAATATTTTTATTTTTAAAAAAAAAGAATTTGTCTGCGATGAAGGCTTATTAGCAGGACTAGAAATAGGTCGTTTTGCAGATCTATTATTTTATTCTGAACCAGAATAATCTTATTATTCCATACTCCCTTTTTCCTCAGTTATTAGTTCTCTTCGCTACTATCTTCCATTTTGTTTCACACCGTCGACTATTTTTACTGTGTTAGATAACTGAAAGAAATCAACAAATTATGTGTAAAGGCTTTTTCCAGACTATGACTTAACACGGTGTATCTTTAAGGAGCTTATGTACCTTCCCAGATATTTGAAACCTTATAATTTAGTGCTTCAGTTAAGGACATTACCGATCAGATCCAAATCCTCTGGTATGACCAAGAGTAGGAACAGTTCATTCTTCCTACCAAAATGCCTCCTATGGTCATGTATTTATAGTAACTAGCTGGAAAGTTCTACTCATTGCCTTGATGCAGTGAAGGAGTTTACGGAAATGAGCGAACAGGAAGTAGGTGCTCATCCCTTTGGCCAGGTCAATGGGTGCAGAGAGTTGGAAAACTCTGATTCCAAAACAAAGCTGCACGTGAGCCCCAGATCTTGGAGAAACGAATATCATATAAACCTGTTTTTGTCACTGGCTACCGTGAGACCGTCTCTACTAACGTTTGGGTAGAGTGTTACAGTTTTAACGAAGATTTCATGGCCTCTTTCAGTAAGGCAAGTGCTAAGATGTAATAAGGTTATGTCAAACTTATGGAGTCAGTCAGTCAGTTAGCTTCGTACGTATGTACAACAGTTCAAGTTGCCATACCACATTAGCACAGATATCGAATTGTCAATTCAAATCCCATAGTAGTAGAGGTAGTAAAGGTGTTAGTAGTAATCAGAGAGATAAGGGCACGAAGATATTATTCAAGAAGTAGAATCTAGTGAAAAGAGATAAAAAAAAAGGTCTTGAGTTCATGAGGTCATGAAAAAAGATAAAAAATGGATGCAAATGATTTTGAGCCATGTCATCCAAGGTTTCTAACCATCGATTACTATTGTCTCGCGGACCCCAACCAGGTAGTCTATACCTACCAGCATGACTCAATCCAGTTGTCAATTTATGGACTACTGATGCATATAATCTATTTGTATAGTTGTTAATTAACTAGACTAGCAGGAAAGGAAGTTTCAACAGGAACATCTTCAATAAATCAAATATAAGATGAGAATACTATCCGAATACTTATTCGCAGGACAGGCTGCCTAATCAGATTTGTCATTTTGGTTCTTGTCTGTGACTGGTTCCTCTTAGGTCAGATAACAGCGACTGTGTTTTTCAGCTTTGTACAAAGTACGCCTTGTTTCTGATCAGAACTAACTCTCCACACTGTCATCTCCGGCATACTACTTGATATCCTTTCTCTGTTACTCAACCCTCGATTCAGACTAACCACATCGGGATCGGCTATCATTGGTGTTGTTGTGTGCAAGACATCCGTTCCTTCTTATATATTTATCTGGATTTTGATCGTTGTTTGATTTTGTTCAAGCTTATCTTACGTTTTAATGACTAATAGATGTTTCGTCTGACACGGATTGATGTGAGCGAATCGGCTTTTTCTACCATTGCAACTAAGTATTAAACCTACGCCATGAAAATGACGGGTCACAATTTGCACGGGACTGAGAAACGTCCTGCATATAAGGACTTGGCCTTTGGAGCTTCTTTAAAACTCCAATGCATGTTAGTCTACCACGATGAATTGCTAGTCTGACGGTGAACTTCTATTCCTAATGGAGGACATTTGGAGACGTTTTCATTGAGACCGAGAAACGTGCCAAAAATGTGAGAATAGTACCATCTAGCAACTGTCGGGAGCTCTTTCAATTCATCCGAGCTACTGGCAGCGAGAATTTTGGTATGAGTAAAACAATCTGTACATTCAATTAAACGCAAATTAATAACATCTTACGTCTTGAACGGTGAGCAGAGTTTTTCAAGAGACAATTCAATAAGTCTGTTCCCTCAACATCGTCAATCAGATTGTTCTGTCCTTCACGGCCGGTGATGATTGCTAAACCGGATGCGGAAGTCCTCAAGAAACTTCGAATTTTGAAGATACATAGGTCACTAGTCTCAGACAACTTACCTCTTGTTCCTTTTAGGTAAGAAAATGAACTTCTGATTAGAGAATTGGTGCTTTTTCTTAAACTACTCTCTCTATATATAATTCTTATATTTGTGCTTTTAGTTCTCCTAATTCCTTGCGGGTATAATGTGATGTGCTACAACTTGGATCGGTCCAGCTCTTTGATAGTTCCTAAGTTGTCTATGTTTGACTAAGAGGACGTTTCAGGTGCCTCAAAAATCGGAACATATTTTATATTAGCTAATCAAACAATGAAAGCCGTTTACAGGCTTCTAGATTGTAATCGCCAAAAATAATAAACTGCTCTTCAAATAAAAGCTAGGTAGTTTCCTCTACGTTGTCAATTCAAAAAATTTTATCCACCGGAATTATTTGATTCGAACTCAAATTAATAAAGACTGGACTTTATTTGTTCATATTTTTCTTGATCACTTCAGATATGTTATCTCAGAACAAACCAAGTCCTTCTTCTTCGCTTCGTCACTGTAGTAGTTCATCTCCTAAATTTCATGCTTCGGATAAACGCTATCGAAACGTAAGTATTATGAGTAAATTACTTGATGAGGCTTACTATGTATACTTCATAAAAATATATTAGAAATAATATTGTGCTAAACTTAAGGGTATTTAGGATAGTTATGCATTCCCAAAAATACGGTCTGTAATTTTCCCAGCACGATTTTATCAAGTGAATCACATTGGTTATGAAATCGGTTAAGTGTTGGTAATCTATTGATAAATCAAAATCTTTACTCTTTTAACATTCTTCACTTTTTGTTGTAACATACCTAGAAGTTATATCTGAATAAAGTACTATTACACTTAATCGTTTACGAGCACATGCTCCTTTAAGCTGTTTATATAAACTAACATAAACTCAACACTAAATGTTTGTGCGGAGTCTTTGTAATTAAAAACATCACAAATTTCACAGCAGATAATAAAAGTAGTCAGAAAGCTTGTTTCTCTCAGTTCCTACAATCAAACTAGCCGATAACTAAATTTATTATTTACCTTTACGTGATATTTATTATATTAAAGATTACTATTGCGCATATTAAAACAATATTGTTAACGATTAGATCGTCATCAGGCTTTACTCTAAATCTCTGTCATCTGAATTCTCTACATCAAGTGGTGTCCGTCAGGGCTGTCCACTCTCTCCATTCTTGTTTAACTTTGTCGTTGATATGCTTTTAGAGTTAACATTAAGCTCGTCAGATTTTTCAGGGGTTGACCTTCTACCAGGAAAATCGCTTACTGACCTAGAATATGCCGATGACATAGTTCTATTCGGTGAAGACGCTGACAAAATGCAGAGTCTTCTGACTACCATAAGCAACAATGCGAGCATGTTCGGGATTTGGTTCCCCCCCTGAAGTGCAAAATGTTGCTTCAAGACTGGGTTGGTAGGGAGTGAATTGGTCGAGCGTGTTGATCACTTCACTTATCTGGGGAGTCTCATCAGTGCTGATAGCCTGGTGACTGACGAAATCTCAGCACAGATACAGAAAGCTCGATCGGCTTTTGTTAAATTGCGTTACTTATGCCGTCGGCGAGACATCCGTATACTGACTTAAGGACGAGTGTACTGTGCAGCTGAACGCTCCGTCCCACTGTACGGATGCGAGACTTGGCCGTTAAGAGAAGAGGACTTCCGTAGGTTACTAGTCTCCGATCATCGATGTCTCCGAAGCATTGCTCGTGTATCATGGGACAACCGAGTGAGCAATGCTGTCGTTAGGAAACGAGTTCTAGGTAGTGATGGCAAATCAATAGATGAAGTGATGAAACTTCATCAGTTGAGGTGGTTGGGACGAATGCCCAACCACCGACTGTCGCGACGAGCTATGTTTTGCAGTGTAGGAGTAGATTGGAAGAAAGCTAGGCGCGGCCAAACCAAAACATTGCAGAAATTCATGGAGTCACTGACAAGTGGACTGAGTCATGTTGGTAGATGTAGACTACCTGGTTGGGGTCCGCGAGACGAAAGTCACCAATGGTTAGAGACTTTGAACGACATGGCTCAAAATCGTTTGCACTGGTGCAGACGCATCAACTTTTTGTGTTCTCTGAAATTCTAATCTTCTGACTACCTCATCATTTTTATCTTTCTCTTTTTTAAGTTTGTTTCACTGGATTATACTTCTTGAATCATATCTTCGAACCCTAGTCTTATCCATAGCTGCTAATATTTGAACTGACAATCGCATCTCTGTGCTAATGTGGTATGGCAACTTGAACTGATGTAGGTACGTGTGAAGTTCTACGTTTTAACTAACTGACTGAACATTTAAAACCGAATAAATGGTTGTACTGTGTCGTGTGGCAACTCCCAAATATTTGGCGGTTCAAAAATTACATATGCTTCATATTTGGTAATGTTGGTCATAAAGTCAACTAAGCCAGAAAATATTGAGATAATAATCGGCGAAGATTTCTCACCAAACGCAACACAAATATATATGCTACACGTACTAGGTATGGCCGATTAAAGAAGCTTTGTAGACTAGGTTACCGGTGTTTATAACTTATTGGAAACAGCATCAAATGTCACACTAACTTACCAGGTTGTCCACAATTATTCACTGGTCCCAGAAGAAAAAACTTTCTGCTAACTGGCGCTTTTCTTAAGTGGTCAGAATTTCATAGACAATTATTCAGCTGCTTTAGGTCGCCAGAAGTATTTATATTCGAAAATAGAAAGTATAATCCAAAGATTTTTATTGACCTAACGTGCAACACCAAATCTCCCGGCAGTGTATAAAGTGAAACCAGAAGAGGCGATGTTTGGAATTAAGATTAAGATCTCGAACAAATCAAACCGAGACCTAGGACCAGCCACTATAAGGGACGAACCGAACGCCAAGAAAGTTTAGCGTCGAGCAAAGTGATGGCAGGATATTTCTGTGGTTTAAAATCAACCAGCGAAGCTTGAATTCAATATACACAGCAGGAAAATGTCATTTCTGAAGTAAACGTCTGAGAAATAAGATGGGTACGACATGATAACCAACTGCGACTGAGCAGACAGGATTGATGGACAAGAAGTGATGTAAAGCTTACCATACCACTAAATGTATTAGAGTATTTGCGTTCGGAAATTAAGAAGGACCCAAAAAATAAATTACTTGTTTTTCCAGGTCGATCGCAACGTCTCAGGCGGCCGACAAATCGAATGTATAAACCTTTGGGTATGGGGTTAGCGACTTAATCCCGTCGGAAAGTAACTCTTCACGAAAACGCTAACCAGAATAAATAATCTAAACTCCGCCCTGGAAATTGCAAGGTTTTCGTTTAGAAGAGTTGTGAAACCTCATGATGAAAGCCGAGTTCCTTCGGAAGTCATGAGGTCGATTCCGCTTCTAAAAACCAGGACAACCATTCATTTAGATATATGGAATGTTTGTACATTGAAGGAGTCATCCAAGTTACTAGAGAAAGGAAACAATACATTCTAGTGGTAATTGGAAACTGTGAAACACATTAGACTCAAGTCCATAAACAAAGACTTGCTTCAGGAGAGCTGCTGTTACACTCCGGCCATAACGAAAGAAATGCTCTACATTCACAAAGAGTCGCATTGATGCTATCCCAACAAGCACGAAAAAGCACTGATAGGATGGGAATTTCATCGACCCAGGATCATCAAAGCCCCCTTCAAAACAAAGAAATAGGGGATTACAGTGAAATTCAACGAAGATGCTGAAGATCTATCGTATGAGAGGTTGCAATCAGTAGTCAAGAAATGCCCAATGAAGGATATTAAGGCACGGATTGACAACATTTCTCCGATTGAAGAATATCTGTAACTCAAAACAACAATCAACCAACCAAAATCAGAACTTTCAATACAAATGTCAAGACAGTTCAGCCATGTGGGGCCGAAAAGTGGAGAATCACGAAAGCCATTGTCTTAAAGAGACAAGTGCAAATTAACGGTTGTTTACGCAAGATACTTCGGATCCGCTGGTCAGACACTATCAGCAGCAACCTACTGTGTGAAAGAACAAACCATTTTCCAGCACACATTGCGGAAAGCACTCAACTGCGTCACACGGCTAGCTTGCGCTTGCAATCCTCAAAGTCAGAGAAAAGAGGAAGACCCGAGAAATGGAGACAAACATGAGAAGATTGAACACTAACTGGACAGAACTAGAAAGGAAGATCCTGGACAGAGAATGTTTGGAGAATGCTGGTTTATGGCCTATGCTCCGTGGCGGGTAACATGCGTAAGTAATTAAGTAATGTGACCTTCAGTCGAGTTAATATGTTAGGGTAGGTTCTGACTAAGAATACACCGTATGTCACGTCAAATAAAAATCCTCAACTTCGCCAGTGGACCTGCTTCATTTGCGCAGAATTCTACGACTAGCATGGACAATGTTCACGTAGTAGTTGCACTGAATGTAAAATGTGCTTCAAAAATACTTTTTTGTGACTATTGATTTTAAACAAGTTTAAGTGTTATTTTTCATTTCATGATGTGGTGCATTTTCCGTATATAAACCACGTTCGTTTAAAATATAAATATAGTTGAGGCTGGTTGCTGACGGTTTCGGACTCAAGGTAGGACATAAAGGGAAGCCCTATAAATAGTAGATTAAAGGGAATTTAGCTGACCCGCCTCAATGTCAATAGTAGTGGTAGACGTCAAGTTGACTTGATTATAATTACGACTGGTGACATGTGCACGTGTCTCAAGACACAACAACAGCATTGCCTCATCATTAGATATCCCTAGATGTCGTATTCACTATCATGTATGTGTTCTGTTTTTGCAGCTTCATCGTTCTAGCCTTGATGATTTTATGTTTTTATTGAAACATGGATTGGGATCAAGGAAACCAAGTGAGTTTTTTTCGTCTGTCCATCGCTATTTTGGCACGCTTGTTCTACTTCTAAATCCACAAGTTATATCATATATTACGGAGTAATACGTAAAACACCTCTAAAAACAGCTTACTTTTGTTTTCATGGTTTTTTTCTAGTCCGTAATTAATGCTACTTAAAAAACAATGGTTTGGAAACGCTCACAACAATCGAACCTACTTTAGTAAAACACATCCTGTTTCATCTAATATCAGCGTACCCATGCTGCTTTAAGGATATTATGTGGCATGGTTGGCTTACTTACCCTATACATTATTGCTTATCCTTATTCAGGAGCCTGAAATAGTTCGAATTCTATTAATTTAATTGGTCTAAGGTGATTGTCATGTGATGCGCTATAAGTTATACTTGTTTTTCACTTAACCAAATTCACTGGTATCTTAGGAAAAATCGCGGATCAAAAGTTCTTCATAAATTCTGAATGAAAAATAATCTTAACTGCACATTAAACATTTCTAGTTCTTAAATGTGATGTTACACACAAAAGAAGTACGCTTGTGGTGTGTACTATTTACAACGAAGCTTATAATTAGTATGCGATGGAGTGTCGAATGAATTTACTGCCAAAGCAAGTGTCGGATCCGGATATATGGCGCGACCAGAGTGTTCTGAAGACTAAGATATATGGAGAAGGGCATTCAAGTTTTCACTTTGGAAATGAGTGTTTCCGGATAAGGTGTACACATTTCGGCTAATAAACTGTTTTCAATTAATTCGCTCACCCAATCTGGTCTTCTGTCATCGTTCATTATATGTTGATGACACTTTTCATATTCAACGCTATTATTGTTTTTTATGGGTTTTTCGTTTCATGTTGACGCAGCTCGTCGTATTTCCTGCAAAGATCTCGGACAAGGAGATTGTGAAGGATGGCTATGGTTGAAGAAAACCAATCCACTTACTAGTAAATATGTCAAACGATGGTGTGTTTACAAAAACTCAACGTTTTATTATTACAGAAATCCTGAAGTAAAGTTTTAAATTTGTTGTTACACATAGGACATTTATTTTCCTCCTTGTTTTAGGACGATTCAGCTGAAGGTTTAATTCTATTGCATGGTTTCACAATCACCCCCGCAGTCTCAGTGAAATCAGGAAAATTGTAAGTTCTTTCGAATGCATCTTTTAAAATTGTAGCTTACGTTAAACATAGACCAACCAACTGCAAAATTTGTAAGTGACTACTGTATGATATTTTTCCCCTACAGTTCGCTAGTCGATTGCTATAGTAAATCGTCTTGGCTAGTTTTCACTACAAATATACGGAGTTTGCTCGGCCTCATTGCTGAAAATTTGTTCATGGCAGCTTACACAGGATTGCCGTGTTTCCGCAAAGACTTTACAAATCGAAGGATCATTTTAGTAAAAATTTGGCTACACAATCCATCAGCTTTTAAAAAATGCCGTTTCGCCCTTGCAAATAATTTTCAAGACTGACAGACAAACAATCCAAAATTATCAATGCAACGCAAGATTGCCTTTAACTAAGCCCTTTGATTTATAGTTGGGTGAGACATTTCTCTACCTAATGTTGGTTCGACTGTATGTACGATTGTCTCATCATACATTTCAGATATCATACTTTACAACAGCTTGAGAGTTAAAACTCGATTGGCACGTATTGGGGGTTCTTTTTTGTCCAACTATTTGCTGTTTCTCACACTTATACCGTAGTCTACCTAACTAATACTATTATTATGCTCCAATTTCATGGCTCTGTTAATACGGAAATAACAGTTGCTTCGAACGAATAACTTTAGCTTAGCAGACTTACTAGTTAGTCAAGTTTATTTGATTTTCTCTCAGTAATGTCGTGCGCTTTTTCATATTTCATCTATGATAGCGCATTTTCTATTTTCAATGACTGGGTTCGCTTTGTGTTCGCTTCGGATTCTGAAATCGATCGATCAAAATGGATGAATAAGTTAGGTCTAGCTTCGATCGGTTTGTCATCTACCATTCCAACTTCTCGTATTGGAGGTTTCAACCCTGGCTATGTGGTTTCACGTGATTCGAAAAATACCGAGATGAAAGCTGAGATTTATCTTCCGCATTCATGCACCACTCTGTCAGATTCTCCCACTAGGAATTTTCAAGGTGATAATTTGTACGGGGCCCGGTATCAGACTTTGTCAACCTCCAAAACTACAGATTTCACAGAAAACCCCTCGATAGCAGCGGCGATTTCTCAGGTCAGTCATTTCATGTTAATTTAATAGTAGTTCATTAAGCCTATGATCGTTCATTCTGGAACCGATCTATCATGTTTATTCTGTCCAGTAAAGTAACGTAAATTTCTATTTTCCAGCCTGTACCAACTCTTCCCGGGAACGCAGTTCTGGATTCGGTTTCATCCTCATCATTTTCTACGTCTGACCTACGTTCGAATTCATTACCAACCAAACCCCTTACTGCCCGCTATATGATTTTTCCTCGGAATAGTGCTTTGACACCCATGGTTGGACACTTATCATCTCCTGCCCGCACCAGAACTAAACATCACCAATCACTGGAAATTTCTACAGTAGCATTCGGGTGCTATAGTGAGAGTGAAGACGAAGTAGACGAGGATATTGAGGCCGAATATGATGTGTATGACAACACTGATGATAATTGTATCTCTGAAGAAAGTGCACAACCAAAATTTCGAAGCCGACCAGGATCAGCGTCTCCATCACATGAACGAAGATCTGTTATTTCAAACAGTACACAAGAAAATGAATGTTTAAAAGAATACAAAAAGCTGATTTCGTGTGATAGTGAACCACATGTATCCACTTCACATGCTTCAGCTTCTTTATCACACCCGTTAAGAGCTACGAGCATTGCAAAAAATCTCTGTAGTTCTGAAAAACTGTTACCTATTGAAAGAATTGTTGGCGTCAGATACAACGAATCAGTTCCTGAACTCAACAGTAGCCATTTTAATAACTGATACTGAAAGGTTGATTTTCAAATCACTTTAATTTTCTATTGTTTTTGTTGAATTTACTTTTGAGTTTTATTTTTATTAATTCAGACTCTATCTGCCATGTTATATGAAGTCTTATATGATTATCCACATGAATTTGAATCCAAAGGCATGCATGTAACCACTGGGCTTCACTGAGCTCAGAAGTTTGAAAGTACATTACTACACAAGTTTGTATGATAAATTTGGCGTTTCTTTTTTATTCTGACAGTCACTTTTAGGTAAAGATGAACGTGAAAATGAAAATCAGTAAAACAGATGAATATGGCACAGGACTTTATGTGATCTTTTAGTCCTAATCTAAGAAATAATCCTACCTTTTGACAGTCAGCGGCAAGACATGAAGTTATAACATATACTTTGTTGAAGAGAGCAATAATCTCGGTCTTTTACTCCAATCCATCTCAAGGTTTGAATTCACACAGATATTATGTCTTGCAGTAGTACAATCGACAAAGTCAGTCAAGTGAAACTTTTAATACTGTAAAGTTAGCTCACGTTTCCTTATTAAATTGTAGGAAAATATAAACACAGTATCTCAGTGTTACAACGAGAAAATTAAGGAAACCGTTCGGAAATATCAATAAGTCTATTGAAAATTAATTGACTTTATAATGCATCATAGCAAATATAGAGATTCGGTTAAGATACAAAAACGAGATATAGGGAGCCGAGAATAAATTACATAGTTTATCATCAGAGGGTAGTAATATTCATAGTAATAAGTGAATAAAGACTCAAATCGAACCACGGGCGGTTATTAAAGTTAACCTACAAATAATGACAACAACGAAGACACTTAAGTGCTGATACCAGCAATTGAATTGACAATCCATACTATTCTCTCCATGTGAGTGACATCGCAGTTTGTAAGAAGGAGTATATATCTGCTACCTCGTCAATCTGAAATTTAAATCACAGTAATAAAATATGTATGTAAACAATCTTAAGTCAATGACCAATTGGAATTTGAACGCTATCACTGAATAAAAATTCTGAACCCGGTTTCCTAACATCACCTCAGCCATTCAAACTAGACTTCGACGTTCGCACACTAGTGCAGATCGAACGTCAAGTAAGATTAGCTATGTCTTTAGGAAGCTTGGACATTGATGTCTCTTGCTTATTCAAGACCATAGTGAAATACTAGAAATTCGTTCTCCATCTGTCATTTCGAAAAGCTGGTTTCGTGTCTGCTTGACCGGGAACTATGTGGCATCATCCAGTTTTGCTGTTGTTGGTTGCACCAATTGCTAGAGCTGAAGCAACAATACCCGACTCTATCCGCATTCAAAGTCAATCGAGTGCTGGCGAAATGGAAAGCCCCATCAAATTAGCAGAAAATCGGTTTGAGAAACAATGTCTTGTCGTTGTCTTTACCTAACAGATTGCAGTCTGAATGCCCTGTACGCAAACACATACAGACAGAGTGAGGGCACACAACGATATCGCTTTATTGTTTCATTTAAGCGGTCAAGTTAGATAGGGTTGCCCAACTTCGTTGTTTATGATGCTCTGGAAATAGTGTGGTGTGGTTCTGTGACGGGAGAAAGACTTTGACAGTGAGTATGCAGATGATGTCCTACTATGCGATGATACCCAAGCCAGGTTAATCTCACTTAAATAGCGTCGTTAAAGTCAAAGCAGTTTCCGCCAATCTGGACAGCTTTGATATGGTTCTGGGTTTGCGACACGCCAGTGAGTGCAGTTTCACTCCGTACGTCTAAATCCTGGCCTTCCGAGTTGAGGATGTTAGGTGTTCGATCACCGTTGTTGTTATTCAACGGCAACGGTATGTTAGTGCTTCTGTGGCTCGACAGTGTTCAGACAGAGATGGTAATCGATCGATGTCATCATATCAACTTCGGTGTCTTATACATCTTTTACGGACTTCATCCCGGGGACTTTCACATCATGTAATATTTCCCAACACAGAATGGTTGGAAGTCACAGAGAGGTAGTCAGCATTTAACGTGGAACTGCGACATGAACTAGGGCTATATTTAGATGGTATCTATCAGTTCATCATGACGCTACGGTGAAACTGAGTGACTTGAGACTTTGTCATACATGTCATGGAACTAAAGTCATTGACAACCCTGCTGTAACTTTCTCTTACATAGTTTATACATGGTGAAAGGGACTCCTTTAACTGAAAGAATTTTCTGTGGTTGTATTTTTCCTACCCGCACTGTTTCTTTCACTGTTACTACACTGATTCCCATTCATCTTTGTTTTTCACTCGATAGGTCTCATTATCAGGGTTTCAAATAAACCGAGTTTTGGGTGGATTTCTAAGAATACAAATAATACATTGGTGGTATCCAAATGAGAAGAGTTAAAACTCTTCTGACGTTTCGCGACTCAGTGAAGGCCACTTCACAGAATGATATTTTCTACTCATTAGGATGATACAAATATATTATTCAATTTCTGGTTGGGTTTCTTATTTGCTTGTAAACTCACTGATTTCGATGTAGGTTTGCCTTGTCCATGCCCAGCCTTTGTCTCGATTCGAATCAGAATGGGATTTGTTTGACGACAGTTGTGACATAATTTTTCTTGTAAAGTTGCAATGAACTTAAATGAATGTAATGGAACAACACGATCATCATGATCTGCGGTTAAAATCATTAATGCTGGATATTGAACATTTGGATCCGATGGAATCTTGATATTATGGAGTGGAGAAATTCTATAAGAAACAAAACATATTAACATATATCATTTCAGTGCAAGTCATTTTGACAATATACTTAGAGCTAAATTGTAATGATGTTAGTGAATAACAATTAATTACGCCTAAAGTCCTTCTAGGCTTACTACTATCTTTGTTGATACACTGAATACGATTCAAGAAAGTAGGAACAATAAGGCAGGGATCAATATCAAGCGAACAAGAGAAGCATCAGAGCTGACATATATAGAAGATCTAGCTACGATAGCAGAAAAGCCACAAGAGACGGAAACATGAGTCAACTATATAATACAATGGGAAATATCGTAAACCAGAACGATCAGTGAAAAGCAAGGAAGGTGAAGTAATCAGCAATACTGAAGAACAGAGAAACAGGTGGGTAGAGCACTTTGAAGAACTCTTGAATCGAACAGCCCCACCTAAGCCACCCAACATTGAAGCGGCACCTACGGACCTCCTAATTGATGTTGACCCATCAATAATCGATGAAATCAGCATAGCCACCAAACAAACCAAAAGTGGTAAAGGATACGACATCCCAACTGAGGCATTGAAAGCAGACATGGCAGTGATTGCTAATATACTTCACTGTCTTCAGCAAGATTTGGTAAGAAGAACAAATACAGTGTTGTTAAATTCAGTACACACCCAATTTCGAAATCTGATGGCCGCATTCCGTAAAGATTGATCATGTACAGACTAAACCGCGATACTACGGACTATTGTGGAACAATCAACTGGATGGAATTCACAACTGTACATCATTCATTGACTACGAGAAAACATTTGACAGTGTGAACAGGATGACACTACAGCGTGTCAACATCATACGGAGTTCCTGTGATAGAATAAACTGCAAAATCGTGCATGAAGGGCAGTCCACAGATTTCAGGTGAAGACGGGTCTCAGGCAAGGTTGCTTACTCTCACCGTTTTTCCTTTTCCTGGTTGTCGACTGGATTATGAAGACGCCAACATCTGAGGGGAAGCATGAGATACAGTGGATATCTCAGATGGAGCTAGGCGACTCGGATTAACAATTAACAAAAGTTAATTGAAGACTTTAGCATTATTGATATGATGGTACTATTCTAAGCTCGCGATCATTTATTTATCTATATTCAAACACATAAACATTGGTTTAAAGAGGCGCACGAATATTTATGCGCCGAGTATTATTAAGTTTCGGGGTGGGCTGGGACCTCTCTGGGTGCCGAAAAGGGTAATTTTTTCACAAGCCTTTGAATCAAGAATCTAGTCAACAAGGTCAGGAAATTCAGTTCCATGGTAGCCAGTGATCTACAGTAGGTTCATACACCGTCTATTCCATCATGATCTTGAGGCTCATTCACGCCATTAGTTTAAAATCAGAGTTTTTCAACTCTTCTAGATGAATCCTCTATACCCATTAAAGCGCCAAACGTTCGCTTATCGTTCTGATAATTTCGTTCACAACACCCCGGTCATGAGAAAGCAGTAAGTAGGAATTACCTGGCGAAGAGTATACACGAGTGGACATGTGCAATTATTTTGAGAGGGAGAGCGAACTGTTGACCGTATCAGGGCATTTGAGGATGATCACCAGAGAAAGAATGAATCTAATTAGGAATTCGACTACAGATTATTTGGATTCTCACACTATATTATTGTTGATATCTTGAAATATTAAAACCGTTTGCCATCTTTTTTTACAAGAATCCACTGTGAAATCAGGTAACTCTAGATTTAAATTGTTCCCTTAAAACCTAAAATACAATAAGTCATCTACCCCTGTGTGGTTAGAGACCTTGAATAACATGGCTCAAAATTGTTTGCAATGGCGCAAGTGCATCCCTTTTCTGTGTTCTCTGAAGTTCTAGTCTTCTAAATTCCTTATCATTTTTATCCTTCTATTCTTGAAGTTTGTTTCACTGGATTATACTTCTTGAATCATATCTTCAAACCCTAATCTCTCTGATTACTGCTAATTCTCCTACTATCTCTACCACCGTGGGATTTGACAACTGCGTCTCTGTGCTAATATGCTATGGCAACATGAACTGATGTGCGTATGTGTGAAGTTCTACGTTGTAGCTAACTGACTATCTGTATGGAACTACGAAACCTACTAGTATCATTTTCATAGTTGAAATCACGAATTGACCGTAGCTAGACCATTTTTAGAAACCTGGAAGCACCTCTACACCACTGAGTCAGTATCCAATGGTGTTGTCTAACTTCAACCTATCATGTAAACTGAATATAATTGGGTTATTTGCTCGTTGTATTAGTTCTTAGTTCCCAAGAATTTTTAAAGTGTACAGAGAAAGCATTGTTAAATTTGGCGAGCGAAATTGGATAGGACTTATACGAACTACTGTACGATATTGAGGTGTATATTTGTCAGAATATTCTCAGTATCTGAAAAAATAATCTAGGAAGGATAATTCGCGATATATTCTGTTTATTCGGACACTTCTGTGCCTTCCGAGATTGTTGAATATTATTAAAGAGTCATAGGCCATTTTATAATTATTTCACCTCTCAGATAATGAATGCTCTAAGCTAATGCATCGCGGTATCGACCGATTTGGCCTCCATGATTCATGAAAAGTAGTCAATTAATTAATGTATTTATAAAAATATATAGAAATGTTTGAGGGTTACAGTTATATACGAGCTAGATCATAAACGTGAGAATGTTACATAAATAGAAATAAATAGATTACCTCATCAGATATAAGAAATCCTTTTGCTTATCAGGATCGCCATAATCACTTTTCCAGGCATGTCCAATTGTAAACTTGTGGAATCTGATAAGATCGCATACTGGGACTTGGGCAACAGCAGCTTTAAATAAATCTGGTCTTTGATTGCAACAGGCACAAACTAAAAGTCCACCATTACTGCCACCTTGAATGTACAGTCTAAAAGTTTAAACTTGAGTAATTTTAAATCGATGACTAATTAAGAACAAGATCTCATGAAATAACAATAAGTCGATAATATGCACAGAATATAGGAAGCATTTTCATTTTAAAAGAAATCAAAGCTACAAATCCAATTGGGTTATCGAATAAACGTGAAGTTTTCCAATAACTTCACCCGCAAATGCTTGCTTACTATTGATATTTACGACGCTGTTTTACTTAGTATCCTCAAAGAATTCACACGACAGAACTGCTGAATGCAAACTCAACATCTCATTTTATCGTTTTTCACAAAGACCTATCATCATACATCACTTATGCAACTTCACAAACAAAGAAGGTAAAGTTTACAGTTGACTTTAAGAAGCAACTGTCTAGTCTGGAAACAAAGTGGTCGTAAAAATTTAACTATTCTAATGTGTTCACTAATCGCTGGAAGAATATTTGTGGGTCATTTCACATGATCTTTACCGACTTGATTCTTCGTAAATCTAAGAACAGCTGTGCTATCCAACTTGTCTTTTAAACCTCACTATAGCCAAACACGGATTTGCATTTATGACTAACCACCGACTGATTATTGAAACATTTAAAGCAACGTTCATATTCAATTTGCTTTAACTGGTTCTGGACAATAGGTGAAAATCAGAAACAAAAATTAAGGACAGAGAACAGAAAAACTCGCTTTTGGTTATTAGTATATCCATGATTAAGGAGATATTCAGCTGCTGATTGAAAATCATCGAAGGAGTTTTGTTTGTTTTGCAGCCGACCGGCATCGTGCCAAGATTTCCCATATTCCCTATCAATAATCAGAACAAGATATATGAGTATGAGCACGAAGAGCATAGACAAAGTTGACTTTAGTCAACCACAACACAAACATGTGGACATACTAAGGTTTATCTATATCGCCCTAAGGAGATTAGTTGACTCCGATTCATGATCACATCATCAACCCCTAATTTAATCTGAATATCGACCATTTAGTGATATAGTAGAGTGCACTTGTAATTAAATACCTACAATGTTTACAAGTCATCCATTTTTAACAGCTATGCCTTTTTGGAATGAAAAGAATTGATATGTGCTAAAAATCTTACTTAGATATCTTATGTACACCATAAACGGATTAAAAATAAACGATATGGTTGTATTTTGACCAGTTTCATAGACTAGTAACTACATGCCTAAATGGATACAGTTGGAAGTAATGACGCAAACTACTTAACATTATGAGTTTGGGCAACAACTCGATGCAAAACTGATACGGTAAACCAGAAACCGCCAAATAACAACTGTATGCGATTGGCAAAAAGGTGGTTTTATTCTATGCGGGAAGGGGCATTAACCACTAAAAGGATTGATTTCCCAAGATATACCCTATATGAGTGTATAAGCATGTGGACCAATTTAGTTCAAATAAACTTCCTCACTCTTCATTGCCTCTCTCGGGTGGCTGACCTTGCGTATCAGCATCTAGTGAACACCACGCTTCATAAAAAAAACTATAAACATGCTTTTTTAAAGTAGAACTAACCCTCCACCACGAATGTTGGCTACTGCGACTATACCACCAAAATGCAACAAGAAAAACAATCGACCAACTGAAAACGATGGAGTGACGGATATATTGAATCCACCATAACCGTAAAGTTGGCACGGTGCCGAGCTGTTTTTTTGGAAGTTCTATTAGGTAATAAATAAGGGTAAACAAGAATCGGGAAATTGAGGATTATCGACAACGATATGTACACTATTCAGATTGATAAAGTTAAAAATTACTAGATTATCTTATTCTTCCCAGGAGCAGCTAATTTATTAAGGTGAAATATGATGTCGGACACTAGTGTTGTAAGTGTAAATATGGACATGGACTGAGAGACGGAAAGATTGAGGGTTTTCACAGCTAGTTTTTGTGGGAAGAATAAGTCAATTAAGAAAAGGTGATGGCAATTAAATTATTGAAATGCATTTCCGTGGATTTTAATGCACTTTAATGAGATTTTTAAAAGTTGGCCGTGCAGAAGACGATATTATTTTGAAGTTCACACTGCAATGTCAGTGTTTGCATCTGATTCAGCGACTAAGCCGAAATTCCTGGACACCTATTCTTTGAACATGAAATGATCGATGCAAATCTTGCTGATTTGCCTCTTCCTAGTCGACAAAGTACGTATGATAGCTGTGTATTTACGCGCCTTCATAAAATTAAAATACTGAGGGCCACCATAATGGCTGGAAATTTTTTTCTGTCCTTCAGAGAAACAAGAGATGATTGTTATTATAGAATTCATATATCAAAAATATACGATGTGATAAAACGAGATTGCACTGGACCAAGACTGAACATAAACATTAGTAGATCAATGTGAATGATAGTTAAGTGCTATTTAGAAACGTCATTATACGTATTTTTTGAGTGTTCACAAGTTAGATGAATTTAGAGCGAGGGTTCAATTCAATACTGCGGATTTTTTATGTAATCAAACACAGTACTGAATTACATCATTATTATCTTGAAAAGAGACCGCAGGGAAATTAATAACTTTCCATTTTACCATGTTACATACTGGATTCTAAGTAGTGATTTGCAGTTTATTTGCGTAGTTTTTATTAGCAAGAAACTCAGCCTCAATAAAAAGTTGTACTTTAGAGTAATACTTCGGATCGCGGTGATGATGAAAGCAATTAAGCGTTTTATTTTGTCAACAGTATTACTACAACCTAAGCGAAATTGACATGTTGAAAACAGCTACCCATGGCGAGCTATTCCGAAAAAAAAATTGAGTTTGGTAAAAGACGTCGACAGATTATTTTCTGAACAATGAGCAAGGATTTTTGAAAATGACTAATGTTAACAGGTAACGAGAGATAAATGTATGATGATTTGGACAAGAAAAAATTTATACAAGTTGGGAATGCAATCTACAAATATCTTCACTTACCATAGGTAGAATAAGAAACATAGGAATTAGAGTTTTATCTTTACTCTCATAGAATACTTGTTCCACTTTGAACTGATTTAAGTCTACGTCCCGAATCTTTGACTCTCGAATAACCTATCATCAAATAATAAAATAAGGATAATAACTCGTGAACTTGGACAAGTAACAAAAATACAGGGGTGTATAATATGTAAGAGAGCTATCATAAAATTTCCTACACACGATCTAGTGAAATAAAGTGAGAGGATGAAGTTGAATGGATGATTGCATTAATTAACTGGGCCCCAGTTACTTAACCAAGGAAACAATACAACGTGCACTGACACTGAAAATTTGATTACATGTTTTTGTATGGATACCTACAAAAACCCACTGCTAAGTAGAACTCCGCGGTATGTAAATGACAGGTTGACAGTGTGTCTAACATGTGATCTATGTTTGCAGACACACCCTACTCACTGGGTAGCGAAAGAGATTGCTAGCATTAATTGCAGTAACTAACCTATTACAATATTCCGATGATGTCTCTGACAATTTGGACATTAATCAATTTATGGATTAACTGAAATACGATACAGTTAGGAGCTTAGTTCTTACTCACGATGAGAACAGTTGATGAAGTAACTTCAACTCACCTGTCACAATGAAATCAACAAGTATTGAAAACCGTATAAGATGCATAATGACAGTGCTGATTTGTAGAGCACAAAAACAAGTAATGATACAAAAAACTCACTTGCAAAACTACTTACTTCTAATTTTGGATGAGTGTGAGTAAAATCGTAGGCGTAAATTATTCCAGGAGTGAGAAACGACGTAAAATGGATGAAAGCCTATATTAAAAAGAATTAAACGTTTATTGCAAGGTAAATGTTGATCTACTTCATTGTCACGCTTGCGTCCGGTTACATTTGCAACGTACCCAAGTGAAATATCAATATCTGATATTTTCTCCCCAGTGAGTAGTTTGTGTACGGATAAAGAGCTCTAAAATGAATACAAATCAGAAAATGTTACAGATCATAAAATAATAAGAATTTCGGATACATATAACAAAATGCATACAAAATTTTTCAGATTTGTGTACGGAATCCCGTTGTTGATAAAAATGACAAAATTTCGTTCTCGTAGACAACATCCCCTATATTCTAAAGCATGAGACAATCAATAATAGTCGGGTCTATACAGAATATTCATCATGAGCTTATGAAAAAATCGTTCACTTTACATTTCAGACTTGTGATGCTGTCTAGTCCTGTGAGCTAACAATATATTTTATGGATTCGTATGATTACTAAAAATGTTAAGAACACCGTAGACTGTTCAATACTAGAACAAATTGATATGAAAATCATTATCAACGAAAATTACCCGTCTATTTAATTGGCTTTACGATTATGAGTTGAAAGGTTTCAGAGAGATATTATTTCAAGATATCGACAAAAAACATGAGTGTGTCAATGGAAAAATTTCTATATACGAAAAAAACTCTTAATCATAAGCAGCTTAATGATGAGATATTCGGAAGGAAAAGTAGTCGATGATAAGTTGCCCATGTAATTGTACAACACAAGTAAAGAGAAAAGACATGAAAAGTTAGGATAATCCAACTTGATAACATTAAGCAAAATATAATTTCCATTCTTAAAAAATCAGAGTCCTTTTAATTACTGCACTACTACTAACTTATGACTTCTATCAAGTATCTACTCACTAATGCATCGCCCACTTCGAATGACTAGTTAATAATGGATACACAAATTCCAGAATTAGATTTTATTAGGCGATTATAGTTAATCACTCTGTATTTACGCGCACAGTACAGAACTGACCTTAACGTCCTTTAGATGACAAATGATCAATTTATCCGCGTTCACACACACTACACTTTCCAAGAGTGATTCCACATTGTGATGGATAAGATCTTCCCAATATTGCTACAATACATAGAAAATCAAAATTATAACAGTTATTGCAAAAAAAATTTAAGCGCATAAATACATAATTTATATTAGTCAGTCAGTAGGTTACAATGTAGACACTGCCACAGAACCTCACGATCCACTGAGTCAAATGCCGCTTTTAGGTCCAGGAACACGACTATTGTCGGACGTCTAAATGTGTGTCTGTGTTCCAGGACCTGTCGTAGTGTGAAGATGTGGTCTATACAACCATGTCCAGGTCGAAAACCAGACTGGTTTTCTCTAGTCTGCTCGTCACGAGCTCTAGTTAGACGTCTAAGTATAATCGAGGCTAACAATTTAGAAACTATATTAGTTTAACTTATTCCCCTGTGATTGTCACAAGAGGACTTCTGTCCTTTCTTGTAGATTGGGACAATTAGCGACTGAGACCAGTCAGATGGGATTACGTCCAGATTTCCAGATTCTACCTAAGATCTCGGTCAGTCTAACCGTTAAAACTGGACCACCATCCTTAAACATCTCGGGGGTAAGCCCATCGGGACCTGCCGCTCTACCTCCCCTTAGATTTCCTATAGCTTTCTCAACTTCATGTAGACTGGGAGAACTTAAATCGATTTGCCATTCAGAATGACTGGAGATCGTGGGCAACCGAAGTATGGCTCGAGGCCAGTTGAACTGATCCCTAAAGTGTTCTGCCCATCGGTCCAATCTCCTGGATTGAGAATGGATAATAAGTGTTGTAACGGTTGCTTACGATATTTCCCGGCTAAATCTTGTTGCTTAGTATTCTTGACACAAAACACTGGACAAGTAACACAAATCAAAACACGGTTGAACAGGAAGGATTGTATTCCAGAATAGCGAGGAAAAGAAGCTGGAGGTGATGGCGAGCGAAAGCCAAGGCAAAAAGGCTTGAAAGCGAAGAAGGCTAAGAAGGCTAGAAGGCTTGAAGGCCGAGATAAATACAATGCTAGTCTATTATAGCCTTTACATGAGAAAACTTCTGGAACAAAATTCACGTGATCGACTGGGCTGGATTTGACCAATCAGCATGCAGCTAATAATACGAGAATTTTCTATCCTGTTCTCCAAGCTTCGATCAGGCGCTGATTGGATAGGAAATTAGCCAATCAGCGCGTAGTGACGTAATCACGCTTTAAATCCATCTATGTCCCACTAACAATAAGACCATCCTTTTCCGAAATAGTCTCAGTCACATTCGGGTTCCTAATACCGGTTTCCGTGATAAGTCGGAATAGTTGTCTACTGCTGCTCATAGCAGTTGCCTTTTCCATCGCTATTGCTTTTGCTACTCACCACTATTTGCGACATTCGCGTAGGCTTTTTATCAGCCTGCACCTAAGCTGATTCCGCTTCTCATAGTACTCAGAGCCAGGCCGAATAAGTTTTCAAGCATCTATCAGTTTGGTAGATGCTACTGAAATCCACGGCTTCTTCCTAGCCTCATGGCTTACCTTGCTAGCAGATTTCACTGCTGTTTCCACAGCTTTTTGGATATCATATAAGGCTGCCTCGGGTTCGGCATCACCTACATCATTGCTTAACGGGTTTCCTAGTCATTCTTGAAATATGTTATTACCTCCGTTTTCATTAACTGGAACCCTCAAAGGTTTCCTTGCAGCGTTTTTCCTGCGTCTAGTAAGCTTCAAACAAATACGAGCTCGCACTAGAGCATGGTCTGAATCTAAACAAGTGCTTCAGAAAGAGTGGCAGTCCCCAATAGAGCCTCTCCACCGATGGCTGATAGCGATGTGATCTAATTGGGTCTATCGTTAGGTCGTCTTTGGGGGTCGCCAGGTAAAGGGACGTTTTTCCTTATGTTTAAAGTTAGTGTTGCTAGAAATAGGCCATAATCTGAGCATCAGTCAGTCAGTTGCAACGTGGAACTTCGTACGTAAGTACATCAGTTCATGTTGCCATACCACGTTAGCACATGGACGCAAATGTCAGTTCAAATCCCATAGTGGTAGAGATAGTAGAAGAATCAGCGGTAATGGAGAATATTAGGGAGCGACGATATTATTCAAAAAGTATAGTTCAGTAAGATAACTTTAGAAAGAGAAAGATAGAGTTGATGAAGAATTGAGGATTAGAACTTCAGATAACACAAAGAGTGGATGCACCTACGCCACTGCAAACGATTTCGAGCTACGTCCTTCAAAGTCTCTAACCATCAGTGACTTTCGTCTCGCGGACTCTAGTCAGGTAGCCTACACTCATCAACATGACTCAGTCCACTTGTCAGTGACTTCATGGATTTGTGACATGTTTTGGTCTGGCCACCCCTAGCTTTCACCCAACCTACTCCTACACCACAAAATATAGCTCATCAGGGCAGTCGGTGGTTGGGAAGTCGTAACACAAGTCCCAACCACCTCAACTGATGAAGTTTCACTACTTCATCTATTGGTCTGCCATCCCTACCGAGCGAACTGCTGCGCAGTACACTCGTTCTTTGGCTAGCAAACGGACAACTCGCCTATTTCATACATGACGCAGTTTGGAAAAAGCCAATCGAGCCTTCTGTATCTGTGCTGAGATTTCGTCAGTCACCAGGTCATTAGCACTGAGACTCCTGAGATAAGTGAAGCGGTCAACGCGCTCAACCGCTTCACTCTGTATAACAAGTTCAGGTGCAGATGCAACCTAATCCTGAAGCAACATTTTGCAGTTTTAGGGGAAAGACCGCATCTTGAACATGCTTGCATTGTTTCTCAGGGTAGTCAAAGACTCTGCATTTCGTCAGCGTCTTCGCCGAATAGAACTATGTCATCAACATACTCTAGGTCAGCAAACGTGTCTCTAGGTAAAAGATCAACCCCTGAAAAGTTAGACGGAACCATTCTTTTAGGTACATGGAACGTTCGAACATTGTGGGAGACTGGAAGACTATTTCAGGTTGCTGAAGAAATGAAGGGATACAACATGGAGGTGCTTGGAATCAGTCAAAAGCATTGAACGCAAGTTGGACAACTTACACTAGCTTCAGGAAAGCTGCTGTTATACTCGTCATGAAAAAGAAAATGCTTCTCACACACAAGGAGTTGCACTGATGCTGTCCAAACAAGCACAAAAGGCACTAATACAATGGGAATCTCAAACACCCAGGGTCATCAAAGCATCCTTCAAAACAAAGGGAGAGTGCATTACAGTGAACGTCATCCAATGCTATGCACCTACCAACGACTACAATGACGACATTGAAGATCAATTCCACGACAGGCTGCAGCCAGTCGTCGAGAAACGCTCACCAAAGGATTTGACGATTCTGATGGGAGACCTAAATGCCAAGGTTGGAATGGACAACAGTGGATATGAAGACATCATGGGACGACATGGACTGGGAGAAAGGAACAAAAAGGGTGAGAGATTTGCAAACCTGTGTGCCTTCAACAAACTGGTCACCGGTAGCACAATATTCTCAGACAAACGCATACAGAAAGCTACATGGATTTCACCGGATTACACTACTCAGAACCAAATCGACAGTATCTGTATCAACAACAAGCTCCCAATGACCATGGAGGACGTGAGAACCAGGAGAGGAGCTGATATAGCCTCAGGTCATCACTTGCTGGTTGCCAAAATGAAACTAAAACCCTAAGGTCACTGGACGACGGGGCGGATATCACAAAAGTTCACTACGGCCTTTCTTCGGAATACTGGAAAGCTCAACGAATTCAAGATAGCCCTCAGCAGTAGGTTTCAGGCCTTGCACAATCTACCACAACTATGAAGAACATTTGGAGAAAGATACGGGATACAGTGGACAACCAGGATGCAGCTGAGCGATCTGGACTTCGCAGATGATCTGGCTCTTCACGCAACAACAAATGCAAGAAAAGACGACCAGCGTAGCAGCAGCCTCGGCAAAAGTAGGTCTCAACATACATAAAGGGAAAAGTAAGATTCTGTGATACAACACAACATGAGCCAATCAAATCACTCTTGAAGGAGATGCCTTGGAGGACGTTAACACCTTTATATATCTGGGCAGCATCATCGACGAGAAAGGTGGATCCGAAGCAGATGTCAGTCAGTCAGTCAGTCAGATGCAACGTAGAACTTTGTACATAAGTACATCAGTTCATGTTGCCAAACCACATCAGCACAGAGTAATCGTCAATTCAAATCCAATAGTAGAAGAGGTAGTAAGGGAATTAGAAATAATCGGAGAGGTTAGGATTAGAAGATACTACTCAAGAAGTATGATTCAGTGAGAAAAGTTTAGAGAGTCGAAACTAGAGGTGTTGAAGAATCCAGAAGATTAGCATTTGAGAGAACACAGAGAATAAATGCACTGGCGCCATTGCGAACGATTTTGAGCCATGTCATTCAAGGTCTCTAACCATCGATTATTATCATCTCGCGGACCCCAACCAGGTAGTCGACAATTACCGACATGGCTCAGTCCACTAGTCAATGACTTCATGGATTTCTGCCATGTTTTGGTTTGGCCGCCCCTAACTTTCTTCCAAACTACTCCTACACTACAAAACAAAGCTCTTCGAGGCAGTCGGTGGTTGGGCATACGCAACACATGTCCCAACCACCTCAACTGGTGAAGTTTCAATACTTCATCGATTGATCTGCCATTCTTACCTAGCACCCGATTCCTAATAACAGCGTTGCTCACTCGGGTGTCCCACGATATACGAGCAATGCTTCGAAGACACCTATGATCGAAAACCAGTAACCTACGTATATCTTCTACTCTCACTGGCCATGTTTCACAGCCATAAAGTAAGTCGGAGCGAACTACTGCGCAGTACACTCGTCCTTTAGTCAGCAAACGGATATCTCGCCTACGCCATAAGTGACGCAGGTTGGCAAAAGCCAATCGAGCCTTCTGTATCCGAGCTGAGATTTCGTCAGTCACCAGGCCATCGGCACTGATGAGACTCCCAAGATAAGTGAAGCGGTCTACACGTTCAACCACTTCACTCCCTATCACTAGTTCAGGTGCCAATGCAACCCAGTCTTGAAGCAACATTTTGCATTTCGAGGGGGAAAACCGCATCCCGAACATGCTTGCATTGTTGCTTAGGGTAGTCAGAAGACTCTGCATTTTGTCAGCGTCTTCACCAAGTAGGACAATGTCATCGGCATATTCTAAGTCAATAAGCGAGCCACCTGGAAGAAGGTCTACTCCTGAAAATTCAGACGAGGATAATGTTATGTCTAGGAGCATGTCTATGATGAAATTAAACAAGAATGGAGAAAGTGGACATCCCTGACGGACACCACTTGATGTAGAGAATTCCGGTGACAGTTCGCCATAAGCCCTCACCCGACCAGTGGTGTTCGAGTAAAGAGCTTGTATAAGGTTAATGTACTTCTGTGGTACACCTTTCAATGACAGACACTGCCACAGAACCTCACGATCAACAGAGTCAAATGCCGCCTTAAGGTCCAGGAAAACAACTATTGTAGGACGCCTAAAAGTGTGTCTATGTTCCAGGACCTGTCTGAGTGTGAAGACGTGGTCTATACAGCCACGTCCAGGTCGAAAACCAGCCTGGTTTTCTCGAGTCTGCTCTTCACGAGCTTTCGTTAAGCGTCGAAGTATTATTGAGGCTAATATTTTAGATACTATATTAGTTAGACTTATTCCTCTGTGATTGTCACAAGAAGACTTTTGTCCTTTCTTATAGATTGGGACTATCAAGGATTGAGACCAGTCGGATGGGATTACGTCCAGTTCCCAGATTTTACCTAAGATCTCAGTCAATCTAGCTGCTAAAACTGGACCACCATCCCTGAATATCTCAGGGGTCAGTCTATCAGGACCTGCAGCTCGTCCTCGTTTCAGATTTCCTAACGCTTTCTCAACGTCATAAAGACTAGGGGGACTTACGTCGATTTGCCATTCAGGATGACTGGAGATCGTGGGTAACTGAAGAGTGGCTCGTGGCCAGTTGAACTGGTCCCTAAAGTGTTCTGCCCATCGATCCAGTCTCCTGGATTGAGAATGGATAATAAGACCATCCTTTTCCGAGATAGTCTCACTCACATTCGGGTTCTTAATACCGGTTTCTTTGATAAGGCGGAAAAGTTGTCTACTGTTGCCGATCGCCGCTGCCTTTTCCATCGCTTTTGCTTTCGCCACCCACCACTGTTCGCGGTCGTTACGCAGACTTTTTATAAGTCTGCGCCTAAGCTGACTACGCTCTTCATCATGCTCAGAGTCAGGTGGGATGCGTTTTCGAGCATCCATCAGTTCGGTGGATGCGACTGAAATCCACGGCTTCATCCTAGCCTCATGGTTTACCTTCCTGGCAGATATCACTGCTGTTTCCACAGCCTTTTTGATATCATACCAACCTGCTTCTGGATGGGAATCGCTTGCATGGTTGCTTAACTCTCTTTCTAGTTGCTCCTGAAATATTTTCTTGGTTTTATTATCATTAAGTAAAACCCTAAGAGGCTTTCTTACGGTGTCTTTCCTACGTCCAGTAAGCCTTAAACAGATACGAGCTCGCACTAGAGCATGATCTGAATCCAAACATGTGCTCCAGAACGAGCGACAGTCTTCTATCGAACCCCTCCATCGGTGGCTGATGGCGATGTGATCTAGTTGAGTCCAACGTTGAGACGACTTTGGAGGTCGCCAGGTCAACAGATGCTTTTCCTTATGCCTAAAGTTGGTGTTCGCTAAGAATAGGCGGTTATCTGAGCACAGTTGCAACAGACGGTCACCATTGTCTGTTCTCTCAGTCGCTACACCATAACATCCACCAAGATGTCTTTCCTTTTCACCTAGTATACCTACTTGAGCATTAAAGTCACCAGCCATTATTACTATGTCAGAGCGCTTAGCTTTTTGGAGGAGGTCCGAAAGCTTTCTGTAAAACTCATCCTTAACCTCGTCTGCACTGCAGTCAGTGGGGGCATAGGCAGATATGACGAAGAGGCAACGGCGAGTGTCCCTATCCTTACGAGTCCTTACTGTCCCGTTTAGTCGGACAGCGCACAAACGACTATCTACTGGGATCCTGTCTAGGAGAGATAATTCTGCCCTAGGACTCAACGCTATGCCTACACCAGCAAGACCCCTGGAAGCAGCATCAGGGCTACCGGATACCCGAAGAGTAAATCGAGCTGCTTCTTCGTTTTGACAAGGTGGAATCAGGTAAATGACTTTACTAGGATCCTGTATGCGCGTTTCCGAGACGCAGCATACATCGATGGCACGAGTTTCTAAAGTCCTAGCTAATGATGCCTGTTGCCCTATTTGACACAATGTCCGTACATTAAAAGCTCCAATATGTAGTCTAGAACGGGGTTTCAGGAGACCAGGAACGACGTTTCGTGATCTCGCCTCGTCTGCATTAGCGGTGCAGTGAGAAAAGGGAGTGTGAGTAGAGTTAGTTGTAGAGATAAAAGAGACATTAGGGGGTGTAGGAAGGATTTGATTTTGACCAATTTGGTCTCGCGTGCTGTTATGGGTATGAGGGCGGTTGTCACTTCCCGGCTGCCCACACCGTGGAAGGTTGTTTCTTGAGGGACCTGAAAAGGAAGATGGATTAGTGTTGGTGCGTGACCGCAGAGCCCAAGGGACAACTGCTTGAGGCCGGTCACGCACGGCCTTTTTATGAAAGGTATTTTGAGAATTAGCTCCGTTCTTAAAGGCCCTTAGTGGGCACCCTTACCCAAGGAGACGGAAATCCGTGAGTTAGGGGGAGTGTGACATTTTTAGGGTCGACCTTTTCTAACCCTTCCTTCCTTGTGAGAAGGCAGCATCGTTGCAGATGCTGGCTGTCCGAGGGAAACACCTTACTGCTGTCACACCCCTCTGCAGTCAGCAGTACGACTTCGCCCTCAGACCTTGGGTAGCTGCTTTTAGTCTCATCGTTCTCCAATCGACCAGCCTGGCATGGTAGGACCTGCAGGAACATATGTTCCAGCCAGTATAGCTCGGTTGGGTCATCACGATAGGCAAGCCCGACCACCACGTCAAGGTAGCAGCTTCGGTCGGGAGAAGCAGATGTGAGGGTGCGGATCGGCAAAGCAAGGGCATTTCTACAGTTGAAAAATGTCTGGAACTCCAAACAACTTTCAATCAAAACCAAAATCAGGATTTTCAATACAAATGTCAAGACAGTTCTACTGTATGGAGCGGAAACTTGGAGAACTACGAAAGCCATCATCCAGAAGATACAAGTGTTTATGAACAGTTGTCTACGCAAAATACTTCGGATCCGTTGGTCAGACTCCATCAGCAATAATGTACTACAGGAGAGAACAAACCAGATTCCAGCGTTGGAGGAAATCAGGAGAAGTGGTGGAAGGGTATAGGACACACTGCGGAAAGCACCCAACTGCGTCACAAGACAAGCCCTCACTCGAAGCCCTCAAGGTCAAGGGAAGAGAGGAAGGCCAATAAACACATCACTCCGAGAAAGACATGAGAAGAATAAACAAAAATTGGACAAAACTGGAAAGGGAAGCCCAGGACAGAGTAGGTTGGAGAACACTGGTCGGCGGCCTATGCTCTATCGGGAGTGACAGGCGTAAAAATTTTCACATTTATCCTTATCTTTTTAAGTTAATTTCACTAGATTATCCTTCTTAAATAATATACTCGAACTCTAATCTCTCCGATTACTGATAATACTTCTACTACCTCTACTACTATGGGATTTGAACCGACATTTGCGTCTCTGAGCTAATATGCTATGGCAACATGAACTGATGTACGTACGTGCGAAGTTCTACGTTGTAGCTAAATGAAGGAATAAAACCACCATCTATTGTTATATATATTTCTGATACTCTCAGAAAAAATAAATATAGTCCTCGAAATTCCTAGGAAATATGACCAATCGATAGGGATAATTATTACGGTCGCATACTGACAAACTTACACGATCACAATTGGAAAGATTGATTTTGATTATCTTGTACATTGGAGCATCTAAGTTGGTGCGAAACACAAATAAATCACCCTCGTTTGTCACATATTCATAGACAGCTTCGAAGCGATCAACAATTGGGATCAAGTCAAGTTTTTCTAAAGAGAATAATCATTAACATATAACTATTTTATTGAAGTTACTATATGAAATGAGCTATAGAAAACGCATTTCAATATTTGGTGGTAAGGTTCATAATACATGTGACGCTAGTATCAAATGTAGGAAATCGAGGTTGATTAAAAACCGAAAATTTGCCAATACACAATTGAATGTTATTATTCCTAAAAAGACATCTGATTATTTTATTGATTTACCCATGATAATGATGCAAAAATATATAAACCTCAAATATTGTTAATATTCGTTGAAAATACAGAGCATTTTTCCCACGACTACATTTTCAAACAACTTAACTTCGTATTTACTTTCATGTATTTGAACAGAGCATTGATGATTATGACTTTTAGAAATGATATCCGTTAAAACATTACGTATGTTAGAACCGGAGACTAGACTTTATTTAAACCTTTTTTATTAGCTTGACCAGACGCATGAAGAGAACATGAAAGAAGTTCATTTTTCTTTCTTAGATACGGTTGCCTAAAAAATAAACTGGGTCCATAATGCAAGCTGGTAGCAAGGTAACAAAAACCTCGTAATTTCCTCCCAATATCCATGTCTTACGACTAAAAGAACAAATATGGGTTCTGTTTTGACTGAAATTCTAATATTAGCTTGACAGCTAAAGGGTCAAGTAATATACTGATAGAACATGGCAAAACAAAAACTACTTAATCATTTGGTGTAGTATATATTAGAAGCAAATGCTATATTAATAAACAAAGATAAAGAAAAGATATGATAACTAACTTGTAATAACTGAATCGACTTTGTCAAGATCACAGTAGAAAAGCTGGTTATTAGGTTCACATCCATCATACAAAGTTACAAGCAAGTATCTCCCGCAGTCAGACACCTCTCCTTGTCTGATATTTTAAAATACATATAACACAAAAACATATTTCGGTGTCAGAGATCAGATCAATAAAACAAATATATACATATATATATAAGTATGAAGACTACTAAACAGAATCTTGTGGAAATTTAACAGAATGATCAAATTCAGAACTATCGAAATAAACAAAAGTATGAATAAACGGAACTTAGTTAAACCATCTTTGGATTTTTTTATGCTTCTAGCAGGATAGCATCAGATGTTGGTGGAAATGTGTCGCTTACCTCCATCGATTCACATTCACAACCAAAAGTACCATGATTACAGATCAACATTAAACGAAGTTTGTTCTACGATTAGACTAATTTCTTACGAATAAGCACCTGCAACCTATTATTTCACATTTAGACAGGCTTAAGAGGCTGAATGAAATTCGTCGGTAAAATTTAACAAGCAATAGACTTGCGATTTGAATAACACGTGCACACCAAGTAAAATTAAGTGCAACGGGAAAAGAAACTACTCTGCTGTCGCTGAAAGTTCAAAACATGAAGCTAAATGCCCCTGAGGTTTTTTCATATAAAGCTTTGTGTGGCAGAAAATTTATACCTAGGCTAATTCAAGAGGTGAATGAACAAGAAAATGAGACTCGCGCATACGTACATATTCCAAGTAGGCTGATCTGGGCGTTCTACGCACAAAATATCGTCTGACTGTGGTGTACCCAAACGATGATACATGAGTTTTTGGTCGGTATTGGTAGTTGTTTCAGTGCCATCAGCTTTACCTTTGTGTTGAGGGTACATACAGTAGAAAACACCTTTCTCATCTTTCGTCCAAGAAATTGAACTGAATTTGACTTGTTGCAAAACATCTGGTAAATCTTCACCCGATTCCCAATTTTTAAACTAATAAGAACCATTAACGAAATGTAAACGTACTTTAAGCTCACACCAATCAGAACCACCAAAACTAAGACCATAACAACAATAAGTTCCTTCCATTGAAAAACTGTAGTTTCTCAAAGATGTAAGACCTTCTGGATCAATTTCGTTAGGATCTATAAACTTTTTCGTGGGTCCTGACAACATTTTCATTTGATAAAGGACACTGACAAATCTCTCTTTAAATAAAAAACTACCTTTGATTTTGTAGACCACTGTTATACCATATATAGTAAAAGGAACCGTATTTGAATGGGCAGGAATATTTTTCATAATTCCAGATAGCAGTTAATCTAAAAATACAACTGAAAATATTACACTTACTTATCTTTTATTTTTGAAGTGTATGGACATTTACGTAAGAACTGTTCCGTTATCAGATTTTGTGACTTTACAAAAGCCTTTGTTTGGACGGAGTCTGGGTCTTCCAACCATCTGTAAGGATCATGGATCTAACCAGGAAGGAAAAGATTACTTTGGAACAAATCAGATAGGTTCAGTCAAGGCATAAAAAATGATCAGTCTACTTCATACGAAGTATTTACATTACGAATCATGTTCAATTAAATATAGAATTTAAAATTCCAATTAAATACTTATTAATAAAATAGTCATCTACTTATAGTAAGGTGCTAAACATTGCCAAAATTAAACTCATATTTAGGTGCATTCATTATTTGTATTCTCTCAAATTCTGATCTTATGAATTCCTCGTAACTTTTTTTCTCTCTTTTTGAAATCCTTTGACTGAATTATAATTCTTGAGTAATTTCTTCGAGCCCCAAACTTCTCCATTACCGCCAATACTTGTACTACTTCTGCTACTATGTGGTTTGAATTGACAATTCGATCTCTCTGTGCTAATGTGGTATGGCAATTTGAACTGATGTGCGTACGTACCGGGTTCTAGGTTGTAGCTTCCTGACTGATCCTTATGTATTCAAAATAAACCTTACAAAATTTCGGAAAAGTATGAACCAAGAATGAGGTCCAAATACTATTACTGCAGATTATCACTAACTGAATTTTTAAAGATTAAATTTCTGACGATTTAGTAAGCTTGATTATGAAATTCTGAGAAGCCATTCTGATGCTAAGGGTTTCCAGTCAGTTGGAAGGAATCTAAAACTCACCACATTAACACAGCTGAAGGAACTTGTCAAAGGGAATCCTAAGGTAGTAGTGGTAGTAGGAAAGACCAGTCATACAAGATACGATTCGAGAAAATACAAATCGGTAAAATAATAGAAAAATCTTGTGGGGAATTTAGTAACTTCAGATCTAAGGAAAGACAAGAAGTGAAAAAGCCTGCGCTATCGCGAACGATTTTGAACCATCACTCTAAGTTCCTAATCATTGGTTACAATAATCAGGCGCGCCCTAACCAGATAGTCTGCACATAACTACACGGTTTAATTCAACAACCAATGCCTTTGTGTACTGATGACATGTCCTGATTATGCCGTTCCTAGATTTTTCTGAACCTACTTATGCACCAGACATCACCGAGTGTTGAGGCGCCCGGTGGGTGGACTGACCTACGCTATACATGTCCTAACTATCCTGGTTGATGAAGATCAAGAACCTTACCGGCCAACTCAATGTGGATGGGACTCAGCATTGGCTGACATATAACGTTCTATGTTAATAAAGATCTTATAAGCACACAATAACCCATTATTTGAGAATGATGGAGCTTTTGAGGAGTCGTTAAAAAATAGGATGTATACAATTCATTTACCTGAACACCGAATTTTTCTTCTACAATAGATTCATCTTTATTTATCTCTGGGTAGTTGATGCTGGAGTGCTCCATTGGGACTATAAAAATAACAGAAGATTTATTTTGCAAAATAACGTCATTATTTTTATCTAACATTTATATTTAAGTAATATTTTGTGCATACAATTTTGTCTACCCAACTCTTTGATTTATTATGATAGTAGAATCATTAACGAATAATTTTTTATAATGTGGAGGGAACTAGCACTTGAGACTACTGAAAAATCACATGCTTAGGCAGTGGCTGACATATCACAATCAAGTTGCGCCAGTGATTGGTCTGAATGACTTAACAAATTTTCTAAGTAAAGATGCCAACTGTTAGTACATCAATTAGTCGGGCATAAATAGAAGTATTTAGGGGTCAACACATCACATAAACGAATGTTTGTACATGGTGCATATCTTTCACACAGCGATGATATTGTAGAGACAGAAACCCGTGAAAGTATTGATGTTCCATTTTTTTAAGTAGCATTCATGAGAAACTAGTTACGCACCTAACAAGTGTAACCATGATATTGTCCGTCCTATTGATGGCCCTAAACTGGTTGTAGAAAACCCGTTTCACACCCTAATTAAGTACTCAATAAGTACAGAGCTTGAATACAATATATTTGCAAAACTATTACCGGCAAAATTATAATGATACAACCAGTATATTTAACTTCTCAGAAAATGGTAAAAGGTACTCCAAATTAAGATGTGTCCTGTGCATAGATTTGGAAAATACCCACATCTGTTAGGTGAGGTACAGGACGCCCCAAACGGAGTATGGTGCTGACTGACTTCTCACCATAAGTTCGAACAGATGAGTTTTCGACTTTAAATTACTAAAACATGATGCAAATTAAAAATTGGCAGCTAATTAGCGGGCGTCTTAGTGTGTTATTCTAACAGAATCTATTCTAATCCTACTCTTTATATCCAGTTATACACTAGTGTAACACATGAATGTAGACGTAGTTTCTGATGACTTTTTGACTGGGTATTGAGCTAACTAACCTTATTAATATACTGCTTTACCCAATTTCTCGAAGGTAATACTTCCATATGCTAATTGAAAGCAAGTGGCATCACTATGGTAAACTATCCTCGAAGTATATCAGAGTAGATTAAAAACGATTTATAAGTATTACTTGGAACAGAACTATTTAATGACCGACTAACAGGTCAATAATGATTCAAAAATTACTCTTCATAAGCTGGGTGGATTTTGAGATAATTACGGCTGGAACTAACAATACCATTATTAATTGCAAAGCGACTGTTGTTCAGACAAACTACCAAACATATGCGGTCTTAGTGACAAATAAACTGTACTAACACAGATGCTTTTGTGTACGTTAAGGATACTTTACAACTGGTCCAAACTTTTTACAGTAAATGTATTCTAACCAAAAAAACAGAGCATAGCGTACCAATCCAGTGGAATAAAAATACTTATTAGGACATTTCATTGTATTCGAATTGCTGTCTCAAATAACATCTTTAATTTGAAATGGTAAAATGAATTTATTTGTGGAACGTTAATTAAACTACAGTGAGTGCTATCCTTTCACACACATAATTGACAAAATGTACTACAAAATGTCTGTTAACTTAGAGTAAGATACAGAGTAACACGTTAGTGCGACATTACCATATGAAACCAAAACACTACGTAACGCCGCCTTGTGACGTACAAACGACCTGCTGAGTCTTGTAACCACCGGGAAAAACATAGCCTGAAAAAACAAACGAACTATGATGACTTATATGTAAGTCCACAAATGTAAATAACGAACAGTAGCTATGCTGTGGAGTATAAAACAGTGAATCAATATGCATCAGTCTTTTAGTAATACGTGCTCTGAACGAACACAAACAAATGAGCTCATTGAAGTCAATGATATCTTCATTCACACCAAAATCGACGGATCAGACACCAACACCAGTGAGGGTATACTGAGACTCAGTACCACCATAATATCGAGCAGTTACCTTCGGTAACATACCCTCTCAAAATGTAACTATGGTGCCCCATAGTTTTGTTGTGGGCGACTGAACTCCCATCAATAGGGCTACAGAAGTTGTCAGAGTCGAAAATACTCATCATTCTAGGTCTTATAAAAAAAGTAGTTAATGCATCAGTTGTAAAATCAAAGTTCAAGGTTCTTCTGTGCATTCAGCCTTCGGTAAGTTTGTGTTAAGCCTGAAAGTACCTTGCGTACTGTGGTTGTATAGGGAGCAGCGAATGAGGTAGTTGGAGTGTAGTGAATGAGAACACAGGTGGGGCAACCGAATTGTATTTAACGAAAATTACAGAGTTACTCAGTAAAATCGGAAAACCATATCGTAAATTGTTCATTTGCAAAGGATCAGTTCATCCTATGGAACTGGACTGTTCCTGTTGCCAAACATCAATCCATTGTCACTATTCATGCGTTTCATACAAATTCCATTGTTTTCTAACTCTTCCTTTCTTGATCTTCCCCCCACATTATGCTACCAGACTTTACGTTGACACTCACGTTATATACTACTTATAAGTAGTTCGCACCACAGCACCACACTCGTCCCCCCTTTTAATAAGCTGTCGTCGCAGTCTTTCTGATCTCCGTACAGCCGTCTTCTTTATCAGTGTTTGTGGTTCGCCCTCTTGGCGCACTGGGAACCACCTTTGGAGTTCACTGGCATTCACGCGTTTCTGTTTGTTTCCTTTCTGGATCGTACACACTGCGCCGCGCCTCTCGGTGACGACGTACGGTCCCTGCCACTTCGGGCTCTGCTCACCTGACCCTGGCCCTCTTCCTGTGGTATATTTCCGTTCTCTACACTTCACCTGGTCTCCTACTTCAAACGGTCTCCAGTACTCTCTCTCCTGTTCTGACTTTTCCATGTCTGATGTTTGTTTCTCTCTCACACTCCTGATTGCTTGTCTCCGCTCTGTTCTCAATCTTGTTGTATTCCATCTCTGTTGTTGCGGCCAGGTTTTATCATGCGTTGGTAGTCTCGGCCGTCTGCCGTACATCAGCTGGAACGGTGACTTCCTGGTTGTTCCCTGTGCTGAGGCACGATGTGCCAGCAAGATTAATGGTAATTCTTTCTCCCAGTCACCCCCTTTAGATGCTAGCCATTCCTTTAGCGTTCGGTTATTCCTTTCCGTTAACCCATTCGTCTGTGGATGATACGGCGTTGTTCGTACTCTCTTGATACCTAACTGCTTTAGACGGGACTTGAACTCATCACTCTCGAAACAGGGACCTTGATCGGTTAATATTATCTTTGGTATCCCATGGTCCGCCACAATGTGCCGCATTACCGCTTCCGTCACCGTCCTTGCACGTTGGTCCGCCATCGGCACGGCATTTACCCATCGTGTGGCATGCTCAGTCATCACCAGCAGGTACTGGTTACCACTTGTCGTCTGCGGGAGCGGTCCCATAACATCTATTGACCACAAATCACCAACTGCTGTTACTGGAATTGACTGCAATGGCGGTCGTATGCATCGATCCCCTTTCATTAGTTGACATTGCTGGCACGCTAATACATATCGTGCAACATCGTCTCTCATACCTGGCCAGTACGCACTTTGCCGCAGCAAATCAGTTGTCCGTGCAATACCTGTGTGCGCTACCTGGTGACATTCACGAATCATCTCCTGGCGCAGATCTTTTGGGATTATTGCTACCCAATTCTCGTCATCATCCCGCTAGGTCAGGACTCCATATGCGTTCACTCTCAGTCGTTCCTTTTGCTTAAGTAACATTATTACCTCCTTGTCCGTTGTTCGTTTGTCTACATCTTCTCCTTCTTTTATCACTCTGATTACCTCTCGAAGGTTCGGGTCAGCTTTCTGTTGCCGGATGAGTTCTAATGGGTCTCCATCTAAACTATTCACCGCGTATGCTGTCACTGGAAGGTCATCTTCTATGTCTGATCTTGACAAGTAATCCGCCATTACGTTTTCTTTTCCTGGAACATGGCCGATACTGAAGTCGTATTCTTGCAGACGTATCATCCACCGCGCCAACTTCCCTCGGGGGTCTCTTGCTGTTCTCAACCACTGCAGGGGTTTATGGTCAGTCTCAATGTGAAATCGTCTACCTAAAAGGTACGATCTCCATTTCTCTACTGCCCACACGATTGCTAGGCATTCCTTTCGATCGTTGAATACTTCTGTTCGGCGGGTGTGAGAACGCGACTTGCGTATTCCACCACTCTATCAGCCTGACTCAATACCGCACCTATACCATGATCACTTGCATCTGTGGCCACTGTAAACAGTTTACCGGGTTCAGGCAGTCGCAGCGTCATCTGACGATCGTCTAGCATGTTTTTGATTCGGTTGAACGTTTGTTCGGCAGCCTCAGTCCATGTAAACTTGGTGTTGCTCAGCAACTTATATAAGGGCGCTGTTATTTCGTTGAAATTCTTGACAAACCGACTATAGAACGCCGCTCTTCCCAGGAACTGTCTCAACTTTTCGCGCATGATTTGCCTGGTTGACCTTCAGTCTAAATTTGCCAATCGGAAAATCCTTGAATGTCATAGATTGGTGGATTATTTTAGTACGCTTTTTCTGTGGCTCCCCCAAGGACGTCTCTATCTTATATAAATTAGCTCAATGTGTGCTTGTTGACCTCTTGTTTTCTGGTTGCTTGTAGAATACACCTTCTACGCCTTACCAAGAATTCTTGATACAGTTAGCCGAGCCGGGGACAAAAACCTGTCGTATCATTGCATCATTTGTCTTCGCTCCGTTTACAGAGTAAGGTGAACTCGTAATAGTTCAAGCACATCAGTTGACGAGCATATCAAGTATCTTGAATCATTCCAACCGTTACATAAGATCTACATTGATGATAGCTTCGCCCGCAACTTGTCTGGAGTACGAGACGTAAACCGAAGAACATTGTTGATTTGTTAGAAACTGTGTCATCTAAGTAATAAAACTTCTTGTCAGAATATGATTAACTTTGCGATACTGAGAGAGACTGTCTTTATCTCGGCAAAAGCGCCTAGCCTAATGTTCCCAGATTTGTCAA